AACTAAGCAGCTATTATTAGATTGTGTAATGTATACGGACATATTGGAATGCTGTTCCTCCCATTTCACTTTGTACAAGTGACTAGTTCCATTAGTCGTCAAACAGAAATTGTGTGGTTCGTAGCCAAGTACACGAAAAATATGGTCTTGGTAACCGATAACAACAATGACAAAAATAAACACGCACGACATTAGTTTCCCGCCAGTGATTGTTTTTATTCCTCTGCGCTCCGAGTAGAACACTGGGCTTCAAACTTGAGCTCTGAAGTTTAAGTAGTGATAGTGTCAATTTTAGCAGCATGAGGTTGTTGGCCTAACGTCCCACCTTCCCTCCTTACCGGGTTTACTACCGGCTAGGCGAGGCGTAGGAGTGTGTTGGCTGGGAATCGAACTCAGGTCACACGTGTGGTTGACAAGCATTCCACCCCTGAACCACTGATGCACTCTCTGGTGATTAAGCAATGTAAATGGATGCTTGAAATGAGAGTATGAAAATATATTTTATTGATGAATACTAATTGTGAGTACCAAAGAAGTACATGCTTGCACGGAAGTAATTTATTTCAGTTTGTTATTTCCAGAAATGAAAGATCAACTACTGTAGGTAGATGTTAAAACTTAAGAGTCATGTGATTTTATAGTAGAGGAATAAGTACAGATTGGTAAAATATTCAGAATTTCGATCATACAGATAATATACATTTACATCATCATAATTGATTTCAAATTATTTCACTGTAATTAATCATCCTGATTGTGTGTCCTAACTTATCGGGGTCCTTAGCTAATTAGCTTAGGTTTACCTAATCCCCTGAGACCCACAATCAAACACTTATCGGATTTTCAAGTGATAGTTTGCAGGGTTTGATTGATTTCAAATTTGGTCACGAATTGACTTCAGTTAGGAAACCATTGAAAGCCAGGGAGTACTACACGACTGTTTCGTCCTTGTTTGAGACTCCTCATCAGTATGCATCTGTGACGCCACCAGTGATCGGACCCAAGACCTCCAGGTTACAAGGAGAACTCACATCCCATTCAACCACCGGGACTGGCTGGTTTTCAGTGGTTCTCTAATTTAAGTCAGACTTGTCGAATGGTGTTCATTTAGTTATCCTGACTCCCGTTCGTCTCTATACACATTTTTTAAATTATTCTTTTTATAAAGGTTCTTTTTGGAATTGTGGTAGTTCGAATTAATTCACTTCTGTGCAAAGTCAGTTAATTTCGTAGTCTGGCAAGTTTTAAAGTTTTCTCTCCTTCTACGATTAGTGTATTGCTTTGTGGTAAACACTCAATTGAGGGTATTTTTTGATTTTTTTTTCTATATATAACCTGATGATGTTTTATTTTAAAACTAATCTTTTCCATCTACCTTCTCAGGCATTCGGTATTTCAACTGCCTTTGTAGGCTTCTACACAACATTATGTTGTGCAAGCTTCTTTCTCATCCCGAACAGCTTATTACCTCACATTGTAATCGAATACTTCTTAAGGCTTACTTGGTTCGATATAAGATTGCCTACTCTACGTATTGAATTCTACGGTCTGTATGGTAAGTTATAAAAAAAATATGTTAGTGATGATATATTCACCTGTCTTGCCATTCCGTGTTTCGCTTTTTTTTGCATTCTATTTGATATGCAGATGTGTGGTATAACAAATTTGGATCCCAGCTCAACAATACTAATTCCTATTTCAGTTTAAATGTTCTTTAGGTTTTCCTCTTATATAGTCTGTTCCAAGTATTAAAAGATGGCTGAAACCGTCCAAATAAATACCTCATTAAAAATTCTTTCAAATTCATAATTTAATGTCAAATATCTAAATAATATTTATTATTCATGTCATTACGTGAATATAGCAACACTTATTATAAAGCGTCGTTGTTAGGGTATATTATAAACCCGTTTCGTTTATCGTTTGTTTAGTTTTCATATATTTTTTATGGGTTAGCGACAATATTTAGAACGTATTCAACGTGTACCTTGCAACCACACATTTCCATGTTGTGTGCTATATATAAACATTAAACTGTTTATTTCAGGAAAGGAATAGATAAAGCAGTCATTTTGTTGGTAAGTCTTAATGTGTGTGTGTGTGTCCTATGTATGTCCTCTAGCAAAGTGATAATTAATATTATGAAATACTATCAAATCCCCGCAAACCAACACTTGAATATCAATCTGATGCTCACTTGCGATTGACTCTATTCAAATAGGTTACCTAGTGGGAAGTCGTGACCAGTGGGGTACGGCAGGTTGGGTGTGACGGAAAATACTCGCTGATGACGTTCGCTAGTAGTCTCGTCATATCATCGATTGGCAGAAGTTGGAGTTCATGGGCTGGCCTTTGGATTGCGTCTCAGTGGCTTAGTGGTTTACGAACTCGCCTTGTAACCAGAAGGTTCTGGGTTCAAATTCCGGTGGGTGCGAACTGATGAAGAATCTCAAACTAGGACGAAACAGCCGTCTAGTACTCCCAGGTTTTACAATGGTTCTCTAACCAATGTCAGCTCATGATGAAATTCAGTAACCGATCAATCAAATCCTACAAACCAACGCTTGAATTACATGATTATTCGTACTTTTTGTGATAGAAAAATTATCCAACTTGTAGCTGTTTCTCAAACTGGTTATATTGGTTGATATAATCTAAAGAGTACGATCAAATTTCTTGCATATATATATATATATATATATATATCACTATCAAGGGGAAGAATTTGAAGGAAGTCGCTTCTTTCATTTACCTAGGCAATGTCGCTTCAACCATAGGCTTCACAGATGTCTCTGTCTGTCTGTTTTCGACATAGAACTTTGCACAAATGTGCACCAGTTCAAGTCGCCACACTCCATGTATCACACAAAGTAAGAGAAGAAAGTAGAAGAAAAACATAATAAAGACAGTAAACAGAGGTGTGAGACAAAGGAATAGTAGTAACGAAGAACAACATAGTTTAATTGGAAGTCATAAGTCATAGGGAGTGGATGCATCTGCGCCACTGAGAACGATTTTGAGCCATGTCACCAATTGTTTCCAACCATTTGTTTTTACCGTCCTGAGGACCCCAGCCTGGAAGTCTACACCTTCCTACATGGCTTAGACTAACTGTTGTAGATTTCATTGACTGGTGCCATGTTTTTGTTTGACCTCCACTAGCTTTTTTCCAGCCTGACCCTATATCCGCTAAAATTGCTCGTCGAGGAAGGCGATGTTTTGGCATACGTAACACATGCCCTAACCATCTCAGTCTTTGTAATTTTTTTGAGTTATGCGTTAAAATGTGTTTCTAAGAAGTTAGTCGATATTTTTAAGTCAGGTACAAAACGTCTCAGGCTAAGCAGAGTGATAAACAATATTTTGTTTCAAATTGTAACTATTGATATAAGTATAAAACTTGGGAACTGTGGTAGAGTATAACTCCATTATAGATAAGATTTTATTTTGATAAATCACACAGTGTTATACAGTGATATTAACTGATGACGTTTCGAGTACAAACTATTGCTCATAATCATATCAAGTTACTCACACAACTTTTTTCCTTCGTTTATATACATATGTGGAATTGATTAGATATTGGATTAAAAGTCAATGTGAGATAATGTACATTCAGAAATAATAATATGATTGTTGATCAATTCAATCACATGGGAAATAAGACGAGTGTTTTTATAGTCAAAATAAGTTACTTGTTAGAATGTTGTGATGTTTTAATTGAAATAAAATTTTATGATTATTTATTATCCTCTTCTGATTTGACTGGCGATAATAATATCTTCCATATTACTGGTATTTGCATCGAGTCATTTCTGTTGCATGTGTTGAGTGTAGACTCGATGAACAAGGATTCAGTAATCAATCTCTCTCTCCACCTACATGGATTATTTCTTATAATCTTAACCCTTTCCCACCCTATTGTGTGGTTTTGTGTTAATGTATGTAATGCAATTGCTGAGCTTTTTTTATAAATTACTCTTCTCTCGGGGTCAACCATTCTTACTCTCGATCTACCAGTTTGACCTATACAGTTGACCTCACGGTCGTTGCTTAAATTGGGTCCACTGGGTCTTTTAGCCTACAGAGCTTGTCTCTGAGTGAGTTTGTAGGTTTGAATGCCACTGTAATTCCTGCTTTATTAAGAATCCTACGTAGGGTCTCAGATATCCCCTCCTTACGTGGTACAACATGACTTATTCTCTCTTATTTATGTTATCACTACTAGTTTCACAATTATTTTAATCTGCTTTTGGGCTTTTTCAATCTTCCTAATGAATTTCGTAAATTGTAACTGCCATTTGGCATGGCTATTCGACTCAGGTCTATGCCTTTTTCTTCAGCTCCAAGTGTTTATCTTTATTCCTGTCAGTGATTGCATAGTTCTTTAGAAGATATTCCTGTTATCAAACTAGTTGTAGAAGGTCCCCAAATTTCAGATAGATATGCAAACGAATGTAACGTTTAACATCTAAAGCTTACAGTCAGATGTATTGTGCACTGATTATATTGGTTTCTATGGTAAAAGGTTGTAGTCCGTTGCATCTGCTTTTTTGCAGCAAAATAAGTAGATGCAAATTCATTCGTCTCAGTAGTTTGAAGACTAATTTATTATAGTGAAAGTCAATTTGTAATGAATAATATTAATCATAAATTTATCAAGCACAGTTTATATTATGTAAATATTTATAATTACAATAGGGAATGTCTGCGTACTTAATATTACAAAATTTTCAGGTAAAAGGTCTTCATCAAACTCCATCAGAATTACTTCTATAATTCTTTCTCTGTACACTTTACGTATTTACAGGGTATATGACAGTAATGTGTAATCTGAAATAACAACATTTTGGAAACATAAAGAATATTCAAAATACAGAACTAGACAAGTGTTTAAATTTGTTAGTCGTACTTCCATTTTTATACACAGTGTCGACTTTTGTCATTTCCCCTTGATTTTTCTCTTGCAAATAATTTCATTATTTTCATGTTTTGAATAGCCCGCGTTATTTTAATCTCAAGTGCCTTACTGCCAGCTTTGTTTGCCCTATTCATATTTGTAATACTTTGGTGGCGTTGTATTCGTCCTACTTTGCATTATCGCCGTGTGTTTGGGCGTGGTCCACTAGTAAAGGTGGGAAATACCACATCTGCTCTTGTTAATGAGCCTTGGAATTCAGATGTATTGGATTATAATCATGCAAATGTCAGTGGTCCATTTGAATGTGCATCACAAGCTGAACATACATCAACGAATACTGTTAATGTATTACCTCTATTGAATGAAGAAGAGGCTAACATTAGTATGTTGCGATCAGATAATAATTCAGTATCCCAGCATTTAGTAAACCGATATAACAATTCAAGCAGTCTTAATGATCTTACTAGTAATGATGATATCGACAGAGATGAAAATTATGTTCGGATTTATGGTATTCGACTTTTTCGCAGGCCTAGAGATTGTTTAAAATGCCCAAACAGTTCATCTGGCCCATATAAACTCTTTGACTTACGACCTCGTCGTCTTGCTCGCCTGCCGCCTATTTTACCTGCAACATTTATCTTCATCGGTTATCTCTGTATATCTCTTGGTAAGTGTTATGAATTTTGTTTTACTTTTGGTTTACAGTATTTATTTCACATTGAAATACATTTTTACCGTTAACATGTGTAATACATTGTTCGCTTTCATGTTTGCTTGCTATCAATAAGTAGCACACTTTCTTCTCTTGCTTTGTGTGTTACATGGAGTGTGGCGACTTGAACTGTCGCACATGGGTGCGAAGTTCTATGTCGAAAACAGACAGACAGACATCAGTAAGTTAATTAAGAATTAGATGATTCAGTTAAATCTTACTGTTAGCGTGAATTTAAGACTTTTCTTTTCCCTTCAGCGTGTGGTTTCGTATAATTGTCACTATCATATTTGATTTGCTTTTCTTTTTGTTCACACTTGCTTTGACCTACTTTCATAAAGTGTGGTTTTCATGTTATCTCTTGTTACTTCAGTAATATTGTTTCAAAGTTAAGATAACTTGAAAGCTGAATTTACCCAATATGTTGATTTAAAATTATCGGGTATTCATTCAGTGTACATCGCTTTACATCATGTTTCGTAGGTGTGATTTATATTTTAATAGATTTAGGTCTGTAGCTAAATTGTGTCATCTGTAATATCTGTTGAAATCGTTATTTTCAGATAACTTTCAAGACTATCCTAGTGAATACACTTGTCACATGGGAGCTTGTTGAGCATGAATACTTATTAAGTAATTTATTATGCTCTCCTTTACGCTGAGAGAAATTGGCATTAATTGAAGTTACTTTTAAAGTCGTTTCCATTTTTCGCATCAAATGAACATGATGCAACGGGTATTCCTGCTGCAAGCGTTCATAAAAATGTTCATATTCATACAGCTGTCAACACATGGGATCGATATATTGAAGCATACTTATTTTAAACTCAGAATATTCAGTCACTGTTGTCTTAGGTTTTGTTATTACTGGGGGGGGGGGATTAAGTATTTCGTGATTAGAAGCGAAGCTATCATATTCAGCATAAAGGAGGTAAAAAAGCTTAGAAGGAAGCCAATTTTTTGTGATGATACTATGTTTTGCATGTGATCGATTGCCATATCCTCTTGTAATAGACTTTTATCCTGAGGTATACTCAGTGACGACATATTCCAAAAATTTCCTGATCAGGACTTTATCAACCAAATGTTATTAAAAGTATTGTATCACGGAGGTTGTTGTATTACTCGTGCAACTGACTGGTTGTTTGGTTGGTATAACTGGCTTAAGCTGACAATGGTAAACCTGTAGTTTCTACTCTTTAATACTGGATCCGAGTGATCTGTGATCACAGAAAAAATTTCTTACACAAGTTCTAGTTTAAATTCCAGAACATAGATCAACTTGTCATCACTACATTTGTTACTTATCCTTTCTGCATGGTGAATGTATTAACATTTATGTACACATAGATGAACTAGGTGTGATACACGTAGCAGACAGAAAATCGTCAGTCTAGGAGACAATGCGTAAGTCATTACTCGGCTAATGAATTATTAATAGTAACTATAAGGTTTGATTTTCTCTTTATGCGACTTGGGGATTGAATTTTTACCAGGGACTAGCCTTGTTGGTTTAGAATATGCGATTGGTCTAGGTGAAGATGCTGGTAAAATGCAGAATCTTCTGAATACCTTGAGCAGAAATCTTAGAATTTTTGGCATGTGATTTGTTCCTGTAAGATGACGTTACAGGACTGGATAGGGAGTGAAATGGTAGAGCGTGTTGACGAATTCAATTACTTAGAAAGTTACATCAGCCCCAACGGGCTGATCACTGACGAAATCTCAGCACGGATGCAAAAGGCTCATGTGACATTTGCTAACCTCCATCATTTCTGGTGTAGACGTGATAAGCGACTATCGATCAAAGGATGTGTGTACTACACAGGAGTTCGTTTCGTTCTCCTTTATGGCTGTGAGACGTGGCCATTGAAAGTGAAAAGGCCAGCTGCTTTTGATCAAAGGTGTCTGCATTCTCTCTCTCCAGTATTAGGTGACATAATAAGGCGAGTAATATTGAGGTAAGGAGGGAAATTCAGTCGATGAGGTTGTGAAGCTACATCAATTGTGGTGCCTAAGACATGTTCTAGCCATAGCCTTCTTCGACCTGCGATATTAGCTGACATAGGAGCATGTTGGAAACGAAAATGGTATCAGTCCATAAAATCTTTAACAGTTTGCTTGACCCCCATAATGAGGTGTAGACTGCCTAACTGGTCGGTGTCCCCAGGATTTTAAGAACCAATGACTTGAGACTATTGGTGATGTGGCTTAAAACCGTTCTCAGTAGCACAGATGCATTTACTCTTTATAATCTGCCGTATCTATGTTACCATTGTTTCTCTGTCACGTTTCTGTTTATTATCGTTCTTCCAAATATCTTTCTTTCCTCTCATTTGTCTTTCTTTGTATGCTTTTTGGTGTTTGGCGACTTGAAGTGCTGCACTTCTGTGCAAAGTTCTATGTTGAAATCAATCAGTCACTCAGTCAGTCTTATATGGAAATGTAGTATAGAAAGCAAGTTTTCTTATGGTTGTTAAGTAGGCGCCACGAATATCCGAAATGTAATTAAGGAAGCGAAATAATATGATTACTACTGTTGTTGTTGTCCGTCCAATCCACAGGGTGCAACAAACACTAGATATCACGGTATTACATGAACATTAATGATATTTAGTTATTGAAATATAAACTGCAAGTCAGGTAGATACTAGCTGTGTACTTAGCTCTATAGTTCATTAGTATTTATTGCTGTTGTTTTTTTCGTTATACAGACCGTGCTCTCAAATTGGACAGGTCTGCGGTTTCATTTTTCGCCTTTTCTATCATAATGTCAGCATTGTTGATGGGTTTGCTGAGTATATTTAAAAACTTTGTAAGTTATCTTTTCCAACTCTTGTATAATTGATTTTCTTATTTTAGTCATAGTGAAATGCCTAGTTGACTCGGTAAATAACAAAAGACATGGAATGATCCGATTAATGGAAAGATTTATTGCGGAAGTAATGTATTTGGTTGTTTAGTTGAGGTAACAGGGCGTGAAATAGATGCTGCTTAGGTTGAGTACATTGACCTTATTACACACTTTCAAGGACAGATTGTCATTGTGCATTGAGGGCCTATTTAAACTTGACTATCTTAAACTGTCTAGAGTGTTGGCTCAGCAACAAGATAAGAGTGAACTACTTGGTTTTTATCCTCTGTATTACTTAATGCTTATGCAATATAATCAATATGGGTAGAGGAAATCATGTGTATCAGTGTAATTAATGTTACACATTTTTTTAAAATACTGCTTGTACATAATGTTTAGGAAACTATTGATATATGTATAATAATGGATATTATGTGAACGGCGGATTGGCCATACTCTGAGAAAACCATCAAGTGACATCACACGCCAGGCCATCGCCCGGGTGAAACCCGAACGGGCAGCGATGAGGTGGTCGTCAGTGCAAGGGTGACATGGAGGAGGTGATATGAAGAGGAGATGAAAGCATGTGGGCAGACGTGGAGCCAGGTGAAAACGTTTGCAGAGAACCGAACGCAATGGAGACATACGGCTGAGGCCCTCTTTCTCTAGTAACTAAAGGAAACAATATTAATAACGATGTAAATGATTATTCTTTATAAATAGTTTTGGAGTTGAATTTAGTTCAGAATCTTTATTTTATGGTTTAAGCATCCTTTAGAATGGTTATTCTATGGCCTGCATCTTTATTTATTGTCTATTAATTTATAATCAAGGCTTCTTTGGCCAATACTATCCTAGAATTTTTTGAAACTGTCTTCAACTATCTGTTCACAATGTATCCAACTAAGCAGCTATTATTAGATTGTGTAATGTATACGGACATATTGGAATGCTGTTCCTCCCATTTCACTTTGTACAAGTGACTAGTTCCATTAGTCGTCAAACAGAAATTGTGTGGTTCGTAGCCAAGTACACGAAAAATATGGTCTTGGTAACCGATAACAACAATGACAAAAAATAAACACGCACGACATTAGTTTCCCGCCAGTGATTGTTTTTATTCCTCTGCGCTCCGAGTAGAACACTGGGCTTCAAACTTGAGCTCTGAAGTTTAAGTAGTGATAGTGTCAATTTTAGCAGCATGAGGTTGTTGGCCTAACGTCCCACCTTCCCTCCTTACCGGGTTTACTACCGGCTAGGCGAGGCGTAGGAGTGTGTTGGCTGGGAATCGAACTCAGGTCACACGTGTGGTTGACAAGCATTCCACCCCTGAACCACTGATGCACTCTCTGGTGATTAAGCAATGTAAATGGATGCTTGAAATGAGAGTATGAAAATATATTTTTATTGATGAATACTAATTGTGAGTACCAAAGAAGTACATGCTTGCACGGAAGTAATTTATTTCAGTTTGTTATTTCCAGAAATGAAAGATCAACTACTGTAGGTAGATGTTAAAACTTAAGAGTCATGTGATTTTATAGTAGAGGAATAAGTACAGATTGGTAAAATATTCAGAATTTCGATCATACAGATAATATACATTTACATCATCATAATTGATTTCAAATTATTTCACTGTAATTAATCATCCTGATTGTGTGTCCTAACTTATCGGGGTCCTTAGCTAATTAGCTTAGGTTTACCTAATCCCCTGAGACCCACAATCAAACACTTATCGGATTTTCAAGTGATAGTTTGCAGGGTTTGATTGATTTCAAATTTGGTCACGAATTGACTTCAGTTAGGAAACCATTGAAAGCCAGGGAGTACTACACGACTGTTTCGTCCTTGTTTGAGACTCCTCATCAGTATGCATCTGTGACGCCACCAGTGATCGGACCCAAGACCTCCAGGTTACAAGGAGAACTCACATCCCATTCAACCACCGGGACTGGCTGGTTTTCAGTGGTTCTCTAATTTAAGTCAGACTTGTCGAATGGTGTTCATTTAGTTATCCTGACTCCCGTTCGTCTCTATACACATTTTTTAAATTATTCTTTTTATAAAGGTTCTTTTTGGAATTGTGGTAGTTCGAATTAATTCACTTCTGTGCAAAGTCAGTTAATTTCGTAGTCTGGCAAGTTTTAAAGTTTTCTCTCCTTCTACGATTAGTGTATTGCTTTGTGGTAAACACTCAATTGAGGGTATTTTTTGATTTTTTTTTCTATATATAACCTGATGATGTTTTATTTTAAAACTAATCTTTTCCATCTACCTTCTCAGGCATTCGGTATTTCAACTGCCTTTGTAGGCTTCTACACAACATTATGTTGTGCAAGCTTCTTTCTCATCCCGAACAGCTTATTACCTCACATTGTAATCGAATACTTCTTAAGGCTTACTTGGTTCGATATAAGATTGCCTACTCTACGTATTGAATTCTACGGTCTGTATGGTAAGTTATAAAAAAAATATGTTAGTGATGATATATTCACCTGTCTTGCCATTCCGTGTTTCGCTTTTTTTTGCATTCTATTTGATATGCAGATGTGTGGTATAACAAATTTGGATCCCAGCTCAACAATACTAATTCCTATTTCAGTTTAAATGTTCTTTAGGTTTTCCTCTTATATAGTCTGTTCCAAGTATTAAAAGATGGCTGAAACCGTCCAAATAAATACCTCATTAAAAATTCTTTCAAATTCATAATTTAATGTCAAATATCTAAATAATATTTATTATTCATGTCATTACGTGAATATAGCAACACTTATTATAAAGCGTCGTTGTTAGGGTATATTATAAACCCGTTTCGTTTATCGTTTGTTTAGTTTTCATATATTTTTTATGGGTTAGCGACAATATTTAGAACGTATTCAACGTGTACCTTGCAACCACACATTTCCATGTTGTGTGCTATATATAAACATTAAACTGTTTATTTCAGGAAAGGAATAGATAAAGCAGTCATTTTGTTGGTAAGTCTTAATGTGTGTGTGTGTGTCCTATGTATGTCCTCTAGCAAAGTGATAATTAATATTATGAAATACTATCAAATCCCCGCAAACCAACACTTGAATATCAATCTGATGCTCACTTGCGATTGACTCTATTCAAATAGGTTACCTAGTGGGAAGTCGTGACCAGTGGGGTACGGCAGGTTGGGTGTGACGGAAAATACTCGCTGATGACGTTCGCTAGTAGTCTCGTCATATCATCGATTGGCAGAAGTTGGAGTTCATGGGCTGGCCTTTGGATTGCGTCTCAGTGGCTTAGTGGTTTACGAACTCGCCTTGTAACCAGAAGGTTCTGGGTTCAAATTCCGGTGGGTGCGAACTGATGAAGAATCTCAAACTAGGACGAAACAGCCGTCTAGTACTCCCAGGTTTTACAATGGTTCTCTAACCAATGTCAGCTCATGATGAAATTCAGTAACCGATCAATCAAATCTCTACAAACCAACGCTTGAATTACATGATTATTCGTACTTTTTGTGATAGAAAAATTATCCAACTTGTAGCTGTTTCTCAAACTGGTTATATTGGTTGATATAATCTAAAGAGTACGATCAAATTTCTTGCATATATATATATATATATATATATATATCACTATCAAGGGGAAGAATTTGAAGGAAGTCGCTTCTTTCATTTACCTAGGCAATGTCGCTTCAACCATAGGCTTCACAGATGTCTCTGTCTGTCTGTTTTCGACATAGAACTTTGCACAAATGTGCACCAGTTCAAGTCGCCACACTCCATGTATCACACAAAGTAAGAGAAGAAAGTAGAAGAAAAACATAATAAAGACAGTAAACAGAGGTGTGAGACAAAGGAATAGTAGTAACGAAGAACAACATAGTTTAATTGGAAGTCATAAGTCATAGGGAGTGGATGCATCTGCGCCACTGAGAACGATTTTGAGCCATGTCACCAATTGTTTCCAACCATTTGTTTTTACCGTCCTGAGGACCCCAGCCTGGAAGTCTACACCTTCCTACATGGCTTAGACTAACTGTTGTAGATTTCATTGACTGGTGCCATGTTTTTGTTTGACCTCCACTAGCTTTTTTCCAGCCTGACCCTATATCCGCTAAAATTGCTCGTCGAGGAAGGCGATGTTTTGGCATACGTAACACATGCCCTAACCATCTCAGTCTTTGTAATTTCACGACTTCGTCGATTGATTTCCCCTATTTACCTAGAACTCGAAGCCTGACTTCAATGTTGCTCACCTTATTATGCCACTTTACACGGGAAATAGTACGCAGGCACCTATGATCAAAGACAGCTAGTCTTTTCATGTCTTCCAATCTCAGTGGCCAGGTCTCACAGCTACCATAAAGGAGGACGGAGCGGACTGATGAGCAGTACACCCGCCCTTTGGTCGATAGTCGAATATCTCGTCTACGCCAGATGACTATGTTAAAGGCAGGATTGAGAAAGTAAAACAGACCTTGATTAATCTGAAATCAGTGTAGATATCTCCTCCAATCAGCATGAAGAACAAGATTCGGATTTTTAACATTAATGTTAAGTCACTGGTCCTATATGGTTAAGAGACTTGATGCGTGTGTTATGAACCGTATTTCCAACAGCCCACTTCAGACACCTACCAATAGACTACTTCTCTGCATGCTGAAGATCAGATCGGCAGCCGGAAAGGATTAGCAACAAGGAGTTCTTGCAGATAGCAAACCAACTAAGAACTTATTGCTGAAGAAATATGCAGAAGGAAATAGAGATGGGTCGGACAAATACTCTGTAGACTTTTGGGTGGCATCACGCTGTAGATCCCTGAGTTGTAACTCTTACAGGAAATGACGAGTCGTGTGTGGGTCCGATGGTGATATGTAGGAGATCGTGTAAGGAGGGAATGAAAGCTTATGGAGAATCGCTGAGTCAGTTAGGAAATGCTGCAGAGAACAGAACGAAATGCAAATGTGTAGATGAAGCTCTATGTTCCTCTTGGAACACAGGGCAATAGTACATCTTTATATGCTTGGTGCATTGGTGGCACAGCGGTAGAATGCTTGACAACCATGCAGGTGGTTCGGGGTTCGATTCCCGATCGCTGTACTCCTTTACCTCGCTAAGCCATTAATAAGACTGGTAAAGAGGGGAGGTTGGGCGTGAGACTAGCAACTCTATCCGTAAACAAACTCACTGCTACTGAAACTTCAAGCCTCTAGCTTGAAGCCCTATGTTCCACCCTGAACGTAAAGGAATAAAAAAAATATGCTCGGTCTTTATTAGTTGATTTTTGTTTATATCATGTTGCACATTTGATAATCAATCTGGTCAGTGAACTTTAATAATTGATTTTCTTATTTTCCAAATGCTCATACCAACCAGTAGTATTCGTCGTGTAGTTCTGTTTGTTATCTGTTCTTAGTTCTGTTCCTCCTGGTCTCGCATTGACTACAGTTTACTATTTAGGCATTTTAGGGAATCTTAACCAAATTAGGTTAAGAACTCATAGCTAGCTTACAACTAACTGTGCCATTTTTAGTGGTACACATTATTTTTATTTATTTTTTTAAATTTTTGATTACAGCTTGATTCCACACTGTATTTTTGGTACAAGTATGGAATTTTCAGCATGGATATCGATAGCCCGAATTTTGCAGGCCGACCACAGATATCAGGTGTGCATCGGCAGGGGTTCGAACCTCAGACCATGTGCATGGTTGGCAAGAGTCCTAACCACTGCCACCGACGCACTAGTGTGGTAAATGATAAGAATAAAGATGAAACTGAGTGTTTCAGAAACTTTTTATCACTATATTTTCATCATTCTTCATCTGTGTTCTCTAGAAATGTGTTGTTTACACTGAATGTTTTAACTGCTCACATGCATTTTTCTATGTACATACAAGAGCGTAATTTCTTTTTTCTTTCTCACATCTTTTTGACTTTTTAACTGATTGGATTGTTTCATGAGTGAAACTGTGTATCTATCATCCTTCTCTCTTGATATCACTTATTTCAGAGTGATCACTTTTAGAAAAAGTAGACTGATTGGGCATAAAATAAAAGCCCTACTAAGTCATATAATTTTCAAGTATTGGTTTTTTAGGAATTTTGTTTGATTGTATGGAGGATCTCACCATGAGCTGACATCAGTTAGAGAACCAATGGAAAAGCTGGGAGTATTGGACAGCTGTTTCGTCCTAGTTTGGAACTCTTCAGCAGGACGCACCCACCAGGGTTCGAACCCAGGACCTTCTGGTTACAAGGCGAGCTCGTAGACCATTGAGCCACTGGGACCCGATCCAATGGTTCTTGAATTCTAACTTCTGCCAGTTCACGACATAGCGGGACCACTTCTCTAAAAAGACTTATTGACTGACTAAATTCCATTATAAAACTTGGCATAGAAGTCCAGCAGTTCAGGTTTCCATACTCCATGCGTCGGTGGAACAGTGGTTAGGACTCTTGGCGACCATGCACATCTTCCGGGATTCGATCCCCTACCGACACACACCTGATATCTGTAGTCGGCCTGCAAAATTTAGGCTACTGATATCACATGCTGAAAATTCCATACCTGTACCAAAAAAGTACGGTGTGGAATCAAGCGGAAATCAAATCAAATCAAACTCACAGGTAGAGGAAAGAGAGAGAAAAGAAATTCAGAGGGACTATAACAAACAGGAGCATGAGGGAAAGAACAGTAACACTGGATATGCATCAGGATTTAATGGCTTTCGAGCCATATCACCAACAGTCTGCAACCATTGGTTCTTAGCATTCTACGAACCCTATCCAAATAGTTTACACCTCACCTGGCTGGCTCAAACCAACAGTCAGTGACTCCATGAATCAATACCAGATTTTGGCTTGACTAATCCTAACCCTTTTCCAACCCAACCATATACCAACGAACGTTGCCCATCGAGGAAAGGGCTAGCCCGTCATGTGAAACACGTGGCCTAGCCGTCTCAACCGATTCACCTTCACAACCTTATCGATTGACTTACTTTCCTTAACTAACACTCCACGCCTAACTTCAATATTGCTCAATATATTATACTTCACATGGGAGACACAATGCAAACAACTGTGAGCACAGGCAGCTAATTTTTTCATATATTCCGCTTTTAATGGCCATAAGAAATGACGGTGAACTGCTACACAGTACACGATATCTGGATGTCACGTCTCTGCCAGAGATTACATAAAATGGGAAATGCCACACGAGCGTTTTGTTTCCTTGCTCAGATTTCGTCATCATTAAGTTCATTAGGGCTGATGCGACTATCCAGATAACTAAAGCGGTCAACATGCTCAACGTGAAGACTGAATTTTGACAGCCTCTTCACCTAGGAAGACAGTACCATCTTCGCACTCTAAATCCACAAGACTGTTTCCTGATGAGTAATTAAATGGAAAGGGATGTGAACATATACACTATTGGTTGGAAGTCAAATGACCATATGGGTAAGTGTCAAGTATGCTTACGGATTTAACACCATATTGTATGGCGCTTTGTTCTCTCGATGAAACGTGTTGGCTGAAAGTCAAATGTTTGTCGATCTCGGAACAAATTTAGGTAATTGTACTTAGTGAGTACCAAAAGGATAATCAGTATTAGAGAATGTTTCTGTAGAATCCAGTCGCTCAATAAACTCTCTCTCTCTCTCTCTCTCTTATATATATATATATATATATATATATATATATATATATATATATATATATATATAAGGATTGTCGTAATTGCTTAGTCCCTTGTTTTATGAAGTTTGTCCGTTGAATAAAAAACAATTTTATGTGAAATCAGCAGCATTGTCTTATTGTGCAAAGGTTGTATTTGTGTTATGATTTATCAATTTGTTGGTCTTTGTACATAGGCAGATGGAGCTATTCATCAAATAATACAATAAATTTGTTTGTTAATTATTTACTAACCTTAATTATATGGTAAAAAATGTATTATCCAGTAAAGATCAATATATAAACGTTGTTCCTTTACCCTTTTTTGTTTACTTTAGATGTCATTCTTCTTTTTATCTGGTTTGTTGGAAGTATTTTCTTTGGTTTGTTGACATTGTGTCTAGTACGTTTGCAAGATGCCCGTGAGTTAGCCGAAGCCCATCATTACAGTACAGTGAATACAGAACTACCATATGCCAGTGTACATGGTTTAAATCGTGTAAGTGCTACTAGCGATAGTACCTCTTTATTGGGTGGTGTTGTTAGTGGTGGTGATATTAGACCAAGTTCAAGATCTTTGCGTTATGTACCTCGTATAATTCCTGTGCCGTGTTTAAGTCCAAATTTGAATTCCAGAAGTAATATGCACACTTCGCATTCATCTCTAAGGCTACATGAAAAAGTAGATGGGGAAAATGCAATAGATGACACCACGACTGGTAATTACTGTCGTCCATCCAATTCATCCACACCAAAAGTTTTAACAGAAAATCAACCATTATTGCAAAAGTAAGTATAACTCAGTCGCCTTTGTGATTATAAATGTGATGTTTTTACTGATGCTCAGATTCATTTTCCTGTGTATTACTGGTGTCTTAGAGCGGTAGAATAAATAAAATCTTTTAAGTGCCAAGCTAATTTAAGATTCAGCGTTTGAAAACATTTAATTTAGAGTACTCATTAAAAAGGTGACGCAGTTTTCTTTGCTTTAAAGTTAAGACTTCAGGAAGAGAAATTCATGGAGTTAATAACTGTGACCTTACTCATGTCATTATGGCAAAGGTTTAGAAGGAAGGAAAGGTGCCTATCGATCGGAAGAAAGGTTGGTTACCTTGTCAAGCTACCAAAGGAGGAAGATTCAGGCCTCACTCTACAAGAACTGACATGGAATGATGCTCTTGCACATACCAAGTAAAATACATCCTGGAAAGAATGAAAGATGCTCTGGATACAGAACTCCGCCAGGCCGGGACAAGCTTGATTCAGGAAAGGCAAATAATGTACTGGTCAAATTGCAAATCTACGCATCGTTATCACAGAACAAAGCATAGAATAGCAGTGTACCTTAACTTCATCGACTTCGAAAAGGCATTTGACAGATAGCGTTGACTGAGAAGTAATTTGGAAACTGCCTCAACACTACAGCATGCAGTACCCAAGCTTTTATCAACCTCATTCAACAGCTGGATATATGACAATTCCACGTGTCAGGTGATCCGCAACGGAAAACTCAGGCGTTCTAAGTGAATACAGGAGTAAGACAAGGCTGGCTGCCTATTATCACCTAAAATATTCTTAATTGCGGTGGATTGGATTATGAGTGGGGCTATGCACAGGCAGTGAGAAGGCAGGAATACGCTGGACCGATAAGAAGATTCTAGAATATCTGGATTTCGTGTGTGGATAATTTATGTTTATTGTCATACAAACGCGAAGACTTGCAGGCGAAAATCAACAAACTGGCTGAAGAAGCAGTGAAGACAGGACTCCAGGTGAACATAGAGAGGCGGAGGTGATGTAGACAGCCAACCAACAGCAGCAACACCAACCAGCACCAATCACCTCAACGGGAGAGATTAAACAGAGGTCACTTCTTCCACTTATCTAGGAAGCTCGGTTTCAACTACAGGCAGTCGGAACGGATGCGGATGTCAACACCAGGCAGAATCGGAAAGGCAAGATACACCTTCATCAACCTGAAATCGGTTTAGAAATCTTCTGCGATAACTCAGAATATAGAACAAGATTCGGATTTTCGACACAAATGTGAAGTCGGTCAGTTCTTCTATACGGGTCAGCAACGGGCCAGCGTGTAACGAAAAGGATTTCCAACAAGTTAGAGACTTTTATCAACAACTGCCTTTGCTCCATACTGAAGATCAAATGACCAGAATGAATAAGCAACAAGAAGCTATAGGAAAAAACCAACCAAGAGCCGATCGCTCAACAAATATGTAGGAGAAAATGTAGATGGATCTGGCATTTGTTGAAGAGACCGTCAAATGACACCGCACGCCAGGCCATTGCTCGAGTGGAACCCGAATGGAAAGCGAAGAGTGGGTCGTTGGCGTGAGGGTAACACGGAGGAAATCGTGCGATGAGAAGATGTGAGATTCAGATCAATCGTGGACCCAGCTGAAGAGGACAGCAGGAAGTAGAACAAATTGGTGATGTGTTGTTGAAGCCCTACGTCCCACATGGTACCCAATGGAATAATAATTATACTAATAACTGTGAGCCTGAATCCCATAAGAATATATAGTTTATCCAGGCTGTATTCTTCAGGGTGTTAAGAAATACTCTATTTTACATCTGTTAAGTTCCCTTATATGTTGAATGCGAGTAGCATTTAAGTGAAGTTAAATGCAGTTTGATTGCAAACCTCCTTGAAATAAGTTTCTTTTCGTAACTCTCCATACCAAATAGAATAACGCGACGTTTTAACTATCAGGTGGTCTTGTTAAAATGTGTGCTTTTTGGATTTACGAACCACCTACCTTTATGCACAATAATTGAAGTAAAAATAAATTTAGAGAAGAGATGATATGAAATTGATGACTATCGACCCGAGCTGTATTGGTAATTTTTAATTGATTATCATGATTTCTCTTTATTATAGTATTGTTTGGATATTTTAACTGATGTAGATTATAGGGACGTAGGTCGGGAGGGTTTTTTATTGCATTACTTTATTGCATTATTTATTTACTTAGGAACATCTAAAATATATATATTTAGAGGCCATAGTCAGAAAGCCTTAAGCCTAGGTTTCGTGCTTGTTGGTACTCGTCAACAAGGCGTGTCTGCAGTCTTGAGGAACTCATGTCCCCTCTGAGATTCGAACCTGTATCACCCTGTACTGCAGTCAGGGACGCATGACACTACCTACTTACCACCTAGTGTCCAATCAAGAGCCCGAAAAACGGTGGTAACGTCTCTAACCGTAGCACTTGATGAACTGGGTTCGAATCTCAGAGGAAACATGAATTCTTTCAAGGTAATGGATATGCCTTGCTGACGAGTGCCAACAACCACGAAACCTAGATCCAAGGCTTTCTGCTAATTTCTTCCAACCGTCTAATAACAACAATTCAGAGTGCAGCGTGATGGTTAGTCGCCTAGCATTATGGCCACGTCGTAACCTTGACTGACAACATCCAGTCTGCATCAAACAAAAGACTAGATGCATGACACTAATAACTCACAACCTAGTATCCAGTCAAAGTCTTCGGGAATCGTTTGGTTTTAGACAGAACTTTTAATAATGATATTTTAGTAATTATTTTCAGTGCATATTTTTTTGTTCTTCGAGTTCGAGTGAAACATAGCATGTCAAGCTTTGAAGCTGCGGTAATGGTGGTGTTGTTTCTGCCAAATGAGGTTGTTAGTCTAACACCTCTCCTTTTCTGAGCTTACTGCTGTGTAAACGAGGTTTAGTGCGTTGGCCGGGGATTGAACCCGGACTTCCTTCATGGCTGGTGAGCGTTCTATCATTGAGCTAACGACGCCAGTTTGTTGTTGTTAGTTCTCATTCAGTCAGTATGCCAGAAACTGTTGCAGTATGACCTGAGGGCAATGGAGAAGTTTAACCATTCGTAGCTTTGTTCTTTCTGAGTAATACTGAACAACATTTCGCATATTTTGCCTGGTTGTTTATATTCTTCATTCCACTGTCACTGTAAGATGTGAATTGGCGAATTGGCATTTTGTACTTAGGGCAATAATTTTTCCTCTTGGTTTCTAAAACGTCAGTCTACTGAACAGAGTTCTAAATTTCTCCTTATAAGTCAGATATAAGTTTATATTGAAGACTAGCACATCTTTTTCTCAGTTTTTCAGCATAGTTTTGAGAAATAATACTCAGACTGTGGATTTGTAGCTCATTGTGGGGTGGTTGACTAGCGACTGTTGCGTTACAGCTTTGAACTAGTGTCCACCTATTTGCAGTTTCAGGCAGCATTCGTAGTATTGTTAACCTTTTTCCTTATTTGGCTTCTCTCATAAACGGCGAGTAAATGCAAGTGGTTGTTTAGGAACACTTAATTTCTTTTCTCGATATTAGTAGTGTAAACATTTTATTTTGTATGAAAAGAATTTTAATTGATTCTCTCGAATCTTTGATGATTTTATTCTAACTAAACAGCTAGCGGGATCCACGTGTCAAAAGTTGGAATATAATCAAATTTGCTTGTGTTATTTTCTGTAACTTTATAATAGTATACTCATTTTATAGGGGCAACTTCTTTTGATCTTAAGACTGTTTAAGACTATCTATCATTGACATATTGACAATAAAATCTTTTGTTTTTCTTTTACAGCCGATTTTACAGTAATTATGGTGGTTTAAGAAGCAACAGTGCTGGACCTCCAGTTTTACTGCCATTGAGTAGAGTTCAACTGGCCGCTGCTGCTGCTTCTACTGCTTCGCATTCTATGTCATTCACTCCATCATCAACTGCACATAATAATCAAACAATAGGACCAACTCAATCAAACACGATAGAAGATGAAATAAATCCTTTCCATACTCCTCTAGAATAAAATTCACAAACTTCACAATATTTTATTTATTTTACTTAATATATATATTTTATACATCATTCTATCCATGTGTTTTTAATACCTTTATCTATTCTATTTATATATTTATTACCATTTATCAAGATTTGTCTTTCAGTTATAATATTAACCTGAGTCGGAAATCTGCATTCAAAAGAACCTTACATTACTAGGATGCGACTGATTGCTGCAAAATTCTGGTTGTGAGAGCAGTTACCCTATTGATTACTGAAATACAGTTCTAATATATTATAATAGAAAATTTTTTAACGGTAGTGTAATAGTACGACAGTGTCTGGTTGTGAAGGAAGTGTCGAGGTAGTCTGGTGTACTAATCAAGCCACGCTACTCGAACTCACGTAGCTCACGGGGTGTTGTCAGCTGAAGTGATGACAATGTTCGCTAACACATAGGATTAGGTTGGAAAACAGTTAGGGGTTACCAAATCAAACACCTGGAATCAATCTATAAAGTTTTTGACTATTGGTTTAAGCCAACCATGTAGAGGGAGTTGTATACTGCCTGATTGGGGTCACTGCGATTTTCGGAATCCATAATAGCTGGAGACTGTTGGTGTTATAGCTCAAAGTGTATTCCCCCAATCGTGCAGGTGTATTCACTTCCTGTAATCTCTCATATCCATAAAGTCGTCATGTGCTCTCATGTTTTACTACTCTTTCTCCCGTACCTTTATGGTTATTAAAGTTCCTTTGAATATCTCTTTTTCTTTCTTCTCACCTTTGTGTGCTACATGGAGTGTGACAACTTGATGAACTATGTTTTATGTTAAAACTCAGTCAGTGTTTGAATTACATTTCTCGCTTAAGATTTAACTTATTTCACCAAGACTCATCTTCACTGGCGTTGATGTGACAACATATTAGCAATTTACAGTGCAATCAATAACTGTCTATTGTTTTACCTGAGATTGATAAGCCTTTTTGTGGATTTATGATTGACTTCATGTAAACGCGCAAGGTTTGATTGCGAATTTCGCTGAATTACACCATCAGTCACATACATAATTTATCGAAATGCCTATCAAGGACTGAGTATGTTTCTTAGCCGTGTACTGTCTTCTACATCATATCAGTCAAACAGGTAGACATGGGAAATAAAATCTTATGTGAAAGTCAGTCTACTTCTCTGAGTACATTGAGAGAATAGATCACTAGCTCAATACATAGGTAGTAAGGAATATTTGGGAAAGTCAACTGAATAAAGTCTTCCTAGACTTGGAATAATAGCAGCAGCATTTAAATCACTGTGGTTGATCTAAGTGGTGAATTATGGCTCTCAAGGTTTTAGCAGTGATGGTAACTGTAGTTAATCACCTCATATTCGATTTCAAATGATCACTGTCATGCGTACCGCAATCCACTTGTGAGTGGTGCATAAGTTGGGCTTAGTATTGAAGTGGTTGTGAACCCAAAGTAGCATGTCAAGTCGTCATTTATATTAACAAACTATTCACTTTGCTGCAGGAATGAAACAAATAAATTATTGCATTATCTTGTGAGAATGTAACTGCTGGTCAGTGTTAATTGGTTTATGTATAGAGATTACAAGACAACTAAAATTAACGTTTGAAGACTTTAGGCGATATAACTCTATCTTCTTGTTTATCAGTCTGTTATGTACTGCTGCTGAGTGAGTTATTAGAGTTTTCCCCGTCGCCAATTATGTTATGTACTCGTCGAGTAGTTGATAGTCCTGACGCGGAAAGAGGGAAATCAGAAGACCACCAGGTTTACGATGATACTTGTATTTTCCAGTAAGGAAAATAAATGTCACACAAGTGTGTCAGTGGAAGGGTACTTCATATACGAAAAACGTGTGAACCAGAATACAGTACAAAAGTATATATGGAAATGACTAATACACATGAACCAATAGATAGGTAGTCTTAAGATGATTGGTTGCAATGTCATGTGACAACAAGGCCATACATTGTTTATTTAGTTAGTGGACAGACAAAAGCATTGTCATTTGTCAGTTATAATGGAATATCGATCCATATACACATAGCAAAAAAATATAATACACTGTTAAAACCAGAGCACACACATCATGTGGGTACATATCACAGTCATAAAACTCAGGGTTGCAGTATTGGGCAGGACAACACACGCAAAACTAGTGAGTGGCTAAAACTGATGGTGTATCATTTAACTAGGTAGTGTTAGCAAGCAAATTTTCAACACAATTAAAATTCCTAAGCCGCTGTATTACAACCCAGTGTCTGAGTGTTAGTGTCCTGATACTTCCACATCCTCTTCGTGATGGGTTCATCTGTTTAAACTATTGAACGGCTGCACACCTCGGTTCTGGATAGTTCTGTAGCTTCTGGTGATTAGGTCTTTGAGATTGGACGGATCTCCACATACTCGACATTTGAATAAAGATACTTCTCACTAACCTTACACAAATGAACAACTTAGATCTACCTTTTATTTGCATTTGTGTATCATACAGCGATCTTCTAAAACTAATTAAAGCTTCAGGAAGGTAGTGACTTACTTATTTCAGAACTATCACTTCTCAAAATATAAGTAAGGGGTACTAAAAAACTCAAACTCTTAAAGAACCAGGTACCGTCAGACGGTTGTTCCACTCTGTTTTGGGACTATTCATGACGTGATCAATGAAGTAAATTCAACATTCAACTGATAGGATAATACTGCAAGACCTGTGAATCTTAATTTCTGCTAATTCGCTACACAATCCTAACATCATCGCTGAGTAAATGTCATCACATTCGATTTGGTACACTACTCCAGAACTTCACTAAATCCACCTCGAGTTCAACTACCAGTCAATAGTGGTTTTGTGTTTTTATAAATTTACCGAGGTCTCTCTTGAAATCAATTAGATTTCTACGAAATGAAACATCCGAATATTATGCAATGGAATAATAAGTAAATGCCTTTTCATAACCACTGCACACGCCATACCATCGATTAGAACCCGAATATTCGAAACGACGTTTTGGGCGTGTGTCTTAGGGTGTCATGGAGGAGATCGTTTGAGGAAGAAATATAAGCCTATAGGCAATGGTGGAGTTGGCTAAGACGGCAGACTTCAGAGAACAGGATGGAATGGGGATGTTCCGTTGAATCCCTATGTTCCACTAGGAACCGACGGGAATAATAACATAACTAGCTAGCCAACCAATGATTACAGTCGTTATCTAGAGCCTGAAGCCAGTAGTCCGGTGGCTTTTGGGTTCAGAGTTTTTTACTTTCCATCTTGAATCACCGTCATATTGCATAAAATCAATCAACTATCAAATATGACAGTGTATAGAAGTGGTTGATCAATGAGGCTTTATGATCAATACGAAGAAAAATAGTGAAGAAATACCTGCCTTCGAAATGAGTACACTGTACCAATGGCTTTCTAATAAAGAACGTAAAGTTAATGATGTGGAGATCGAATAGTTCAGAAGTCATTAAAACTGATAATATTTATTGTTTCTTTTTTGGTTGCTCTACTCTTTTTTCGAAGTTCAGTTATATATATTAATAATAGTAATAATGATAATTTAATATGACCATATTTCATTTTCTTGTAAATTTTTAAATATTAAATCACCTCAACTGTATATTTATATAACATAAAAGGTATCTAAATGTGAGTTAATATTGTGCGTCATAATTCAACATACTGTCTTTTTTGTTCTTTTGAAATGATGAAATAAGTAGTATGCACAATTAACGTGTTTATTTGTCCGTTTGTTGTATAAAGTTGCACTTGCATGTGTGTGTGTGTGTTTAGGTGTGTGTTTTGATGTCTCTATAAGTCATATGGATGCAATAAATGACATTTAGATAATACAGCATAACGATGATGTGAATGGCCTACAGATAGACGACATTCAATAGCATTATTAGCATAGCTGATTTCAGGTACTAAAAAGTCTGGATTTAAAATCAGTTGAAATGTATATTCACCAGGAATTAAATCTGTAATATCTAACCATTGACAATCATAATCATGAAAGTAATTATCTTGACAGCCAGGACTGATACCTAGTTTAATAAAAGTTAAAAATAATAACAATAGTAATGATAATAATAATAATAGTGGCAAGGTTGTTTTAAATAACCGAATTCGACAAGTCTAAATTTATATATAATTTTCAAGAGTTTGTTAGTAGGGATTTGATTTGTTTTTAAAGTTTGATCACGGATTGATATCAGTTATAGGACCACGGAGTACTGGACAGCTGTTTCGTCCTAGTTCGCAACTCATGTGGAATACTCACCCAGCGGATTTCAAGTCCAGGACCTTCCGGTTACAAGGTAGGTTCATAAACCATTCAGCCACGGGGATCCAGCTCAACGACCTATGAATTCTAACTTCTATCAATCCCTGATTTGGGCACGACCACCAGCTAATCGGTGGCGAGTATATGTCCTCACTCCCTATCGGGTGGACCCCAGTGGCCATGACTTCTCGTCGGCCATTGAGTTGGGTCCCAGTGGCTGAATGGTCTCCAGGCTTGCCTTGAAACTAGAAGGTCCTGGGTTGGAGGCTCAGTGAGTGCGTGCTGCCGATGAGTGCCAGGCGAGGACGAAACAGCTATCCAGCACTCCGTGGTTTTCAGTGGTTCTGTAACTTATATCAATCTGTGATCAAACTTGGAAAGTATCAATCTTATTCTGGAAATTGTTTTTGACCACGATACAGGATTCTTAGCCTAATATCTTGCAAAATATTTACTTCTCTTATAGTCTACAATTAAATATGCACCAGCAGTGTACTGGATGGCGGAATGACGTTTTGTCTGAAACAAAAATGAGTCATCTACGACATTTCTCTTTTATTTTCTTCTTGAAGATCACAGCAATAGGATGGAAACCAATAAAAAGTTTATGCTGCCAACCAAGGACATTATTGCAAGATTAAAACAAAATGAAATGGAGGAAAGTAGATGGATCAAGCCAGATGGAGAATTTAGGTAACCCAGGTCACCATTGTTTTGCATGTGGATGACAGGTGAGGTCATACGAATATTTTAATTACGTCATGAACTACCGACTGTATCTTTTCAATCACTTGGTCAGGTACGAAGTTGAGATTCTTGAGGTATCCACTTTTCGGATTCTAAAATGGTTTATTTATGATAATGACAATGTAAAGGGAAGACTTTGCAGTATTATTTCAGCCACTTCCCTACACAGTACACAACTAATGTTTTCTCAGAAAGTTATGTTGTCTTATGAAATTGACAGCTGAAATGTATGCGCATTTGTATTGCATCATAATCTCTGTTGTTTTGGGTGATCCTAATACCTGGATTCCTCTTCTTCCGTGCATAGATTATCATTCTAGTCCAAGCATAGTTTATTTAATGATAAGAGCCAGTAGGAACGCTATTTTCACAGTCCTTGTAATTTAATGGTTGCTGTATAACTTTGGTTTGGAAATTACCGGATTTATTGATGTGAAACAATCAGGTACGGTTAATGACTTTATTGATAAAAGTCAGTCTACAGACTTTCGATTAGGTTATTTTGACTGGTGGTAGCTAGCAATGGTATCCTGGGTGCGCATTTTGTTCTATTCAGGGCTCGACGTCTGGATGTACCTTCATTCCTAATTAATTGTGGTGTTCCCAATGAGATGGTGGCGTTTGAAACGATGGGTACAGGGTTCGAGTCCCATTGGGAGCGCCATCACTTATTGGGAGTGTGGCTGCATCCAGTGATGGGTCCCAAATAGAACGAAATGTGCACACTGGATTCCACTACTGGTCACCATTAACCATAATAACTCTGGTAATCCATAGACATTCTTGAAGCATCCGTTTTAAGAGTCAGCATGTCAATCAGCCGGAAATGCAAAATTAAGCTAAAAAAAACAGACTTTCGGTTAGATGAATGTGAAAAATTGTTAAGAGAATTAACAATATCTTCAGAGGTTGAAATCACACTGTAGAGTTTGTATTACTGGGATGGTTGTATCCAAGTTTCAGGATCCTGATAAAAAGAGAGAAGGCTGCTAAGGAATTCTTCATTCTGCTTTTCAAAGCCACTTAACATCTCTATAGATTATAATACTATGTCCTAATTCATTGACATCACAAGGAGTCTTCAAACATAAATCTTAACTGTTTACTAAGAAAGATTCAGTGAAGTGACAGATTCGATTCTAACATTCTTATAAATATGTGTAATGATTCCGTTTATCGGACAGTACTTGAGAACACAAAAATCAATATTACTTTATTGAGTATTGCTTCCGACACAATACCTTGTAATTGCTTGTTAGAAATGAGTGCCTTCGTAAAGGTTGCAAGTATATTTATGAAAACCTCATGTAGACTGAGGGTCTACTGCCTCTACGTATAAACAGCAGTGGATTGAATTATGGGTTCTTAGTTTCACCATCTCTCTGTCATTTTACCACCTAAACCATCCTGGAGGCAACTGGGAAGTAGATATTCTAGCCAAAGCTAAACTTTGGATTTAAAGTTTACATAATCTTTCTGCTATCCACACACCAACTAATCAGTTAATGATTAGTGTTTGTACCTTATGTGCTTCACATCATCAGATTACAATGTTTCCACAGCATTGATAAGGGCCTGTACTTTCATTTCATTATGGATAAATTTTTTGTTGTTGATAAAATCACTCAGTGTTATACAGTAATATTTACTGATGACCACATTTCGAGCACAAATTATTGCCGCTCTTAATCATATCAAGGTACTCACACAACGTTCTTGCTTCATTTATATACATGAGTAAAGATTGATTAGATATTTGAATAAAGTTAATATAAGATAAAGTTCATTCAGAAATAATATCAGTGTTATCAATCAAATACAATAAGATGGGATATAAGACGAGTGTTTTACAATAAAAATAAGTAACTTGTTCGAATGTTATAATGTATGTGAATCGAATACATTTTAACGTTATTTAATATCGTCTTATCTAACTGGTAATCATATCTTCCATATCTCTGGTGTTTGTGTTGAGTCACTGCTATTGCATGTGTTGGATGTAGACTCGATGAACCTGGCAGGATTCAGTAATGAATCTCTCTCTCCACCTACCTATATTACTCTTTAGAATTTTGACTCTGTTCCACCCTATTGTGTCGTTGTGTGTTAATGAATGCAGTGCGATTGCTGAGTTTTTTTTCTAAATTACTCATCTTCATGCTGTAAATCGCTCAAACCTTAGCTAAATTCTTATGTTCTGATTATCTCGCTACTCCTGATCTACTAGTATGACTTCGCAGTCATTGTAAATTATATTATTTTGTTTAATTGGGTCCACTGGTTCTTTTAGTCTACAGAGCTTGTTTCTGAGTGCGTTTGAATACAATCTTGCTTTATTGACAATTTGACGTAGGGTCTTAGCCGTCCCCTCCTTATATGGTAGAACTGTAGATGGCTTATATTCTTTGTTATTTACGTTATTATCACTATTAGTTTCACCATAATTTTTTATTTTGCTTTTGACATTTTTTGATATTCCTAATGAATTTTATAGGATAGTTATTCAACACCAACGCCTCTTCTATCTGTTTCATTTCATCGTTTAGGTCTTTGTTGTACTACTTTGTGGAGTCATTACTCGGTTTGTTAGACACTTAACTAAACCTGCATTTACAGACAATGGATGAGATGAATTAAAGTCTAAATATCTACTAGCTGAATGCGTTGGCTTTTTATAAACACTAGTGTGCAGTTTACCTTCTTCTATTCGTTTTATTTTACAGTCTAACATAGCTAATTTCCCTTATTCAATTTCTGATTCAAATGTATTTTATTCCATTTACTAGTGAATTTATATGCGTCAAGACGTTACAGATATGTCCATAATAGAGTTATATTCTACCACACTGCCCAAGTTATATCCTTATATCAATACAAATAATCTGTTAGAAGTAGTAGATAATTTCATGTATCTAGTTTTCAGTGTGTACCGATAAATTCGTAAGGGGTGTGATTTTAAACGAAATAAAGGAATTCAGATCTGTATACGTTTGTCTAACTCACAAATTGTGTTATTTCAGACTCTATGCCTAGGTGTCAGATGTTAATACTATTTTCGATTACCGCCTTCAGTGGTTCCTATAATCCTCACTGGAACTCTTGAGAATAGCTTAAAGAACTGGTTTTCTAATTAGTTCTGAAAGACAGTTTTGTTTGATTACTTCTTTCAGGAAATAAGAGCACCCTGGGTGAAGTCAGAAAGAGCAAATAACGTTATCAGGTGCGATTCAGAACTGCACTCATTTTCAAGTCCTCCTGTTTCTCCCGATATGTCTTATGTATTAACTCTTATAACCTCAGTTACACATTTTTCTGGTTTGTTCTTCATACACATGTACATGGTATATGTCACCGATGCTCGTATATACGCATCACTAATGCACACGTTGTATTTATTGTTTGTTGAACTTTGTGCAACACTTCAATCATGATACATTTTGTTCCTTTGATGATTCCGAATGATACGATCGGTGTATTTTGACTGCCTTTTGAAAACTTTGAACTAAACGTGTTTTTTGTGGTTATCATGATATAAATTGGTATATACACAGTCTCATCGTATACAGAATGAACTATGCCTATATATATATATATATATGGCATTACGTATGACTAAATTTCTTGAAAATATGTGGGTAGTTTAATTCTGATACGAATAATAAAATTAGAAACAACACTTCTGAAAAACATTCTTATCACTAATTACTATTTGTTTGGTACTGCTATTTAGTTCATCTTGAAAAGTCATTTTCGTCGAGTAAATCAGACCTCTGAATCTTACGAACACATTCCATAACCTTATGATTTTGGAAAATTGATATAGATATAGGTTGATTTTGTCATCATATCACTGTTCGAGGAAACCGTATTGTGTATTGTGGGATCTGTGCGTAAACTGTGTCACTTTTGCTAATAAGTAATTCTGTATTAAAGACAAATGTATCTTGTTCCTTGTATCTATGTGTTACATCAACATTAAGTTTTCCAAACTATGTTGAAAATAAACAAAAGTACATTACCAATTTGCAGTATCGCTTAAAGGATAATTTTAGGTTTACTAACAAAAGAGACCATTAGTCATTTATAGCGAAATCAAGGGATTCACCAGTTATTTATCTTTAAAAGTTTAGAGATCTGTTACTTTCCACTCTATGTATATTATGCATTTCTTACCTAATATCAGCTATTCGATGCAGCTCAATTTGAGCGGTAAACAGTCGCTTATATCCGGGGTTTATGTAGGGAATAAATGCTGCCAGAGTAACAGACCGTGATAAATGCTGGTTCTGAACTTAGTAAGGTTGGAAAAAGGAGGCTGTTGAATCGAAACCTCCTCGGCACAAAACTTCAAATCCATTTCACTTTATCTCTTAAGAGTTTGTAAGTAAATAACTTTCATACAATCTCTGCTTTTCAGCTTTTCACTAACCTTTGTATATTAATAGCCAGCATCAACCTTATTCAACAACTGTACGACAACGGAACATGTCAAGTGATCCACAACGGAAAACTCAGCGAGGCGTTTGGAGTAAACACAGGAGTCAGACAAGGGTGCTGGCTTATTATCACCAATGATATTCCGAATTGTGGTGGATTATGCGGCAGACAGTGGGAAACGAGAAGATAGGGATATCCTGGACCGACGCGAAGAACCTAGAAGACCTGGATTTCGCGTGTAGATGATTGATGTTTGATGTCACACAAAATCGAAGACGTACAAACGAAAACCGACAAACTGGTCGGAGAAGCTGCGAAGACAGGACTCCAGGTGAACATAGACAAGATGGAGGTTATGAAAATAACCTACCAACAACAACAGCAGCAGCAACATCAAGCGTCAATCACCATCAACGGGAGGGATTTTAAAGAGGTTACTTCATTCACTTATCTAGGGTGCATTGTCTCAACTACAGGAGGAACGGACGAGGATGTCAAATAGGGAATCAGTAAGGCGAGAAACACATTCATCAACCTGAAATCAATCTGGAAATCTTCGTCACTCAGCATCACCAACAAAATTCGGATTTTCAGTACAAACGTAAAGTCAGTTCTTCTATATGGATCAGAAACTTGGCGGGTGACAAAGAATATTTCCAACAGGCTATTGCAAACCTTTATCAACAACTGTCTTCGCTGGATCTATACTGAAGATCAGATGGCCGGGCCGGGCCGGAAAGAATCACTAACAAGAAACTATGGGAACAAGCAAAACAAGAACCAATCGTCCAACAAATATGCAGGAGAAAGTGGAGATGGACTGAACACTCACTGAGGAGGCCGCTGGGTGACATCGCGCGTCGGGCCCTCGAGTGGAACCCGAAAGGGAAGTGGCGAGTGGGACGTCAGTGCAAGGGTGACATGGAGGAGATCGTGTGAAGAGGAGTTGAAAGAATATGGACTAACATGGATGCAGATGAAGAGTACAGCAGAAGACAGAAGTGGCAAGTGAAGACGTGCAGTTGAAGCTCTATGCTCCACTAGGAACCCAAGGGAACAATAATAATAGTACCAACGAACTGATTGGCGACGAAATCTCAGCACGGAACCAAAAAGCTCGAGCTGCTTTCGCTGACTTACACCATCTCTGGCGTAGACGTGACATCCGGCTATCAACCAAGGGACGTGTGTGCTGCTCAGCAGTTCGCTCCGTCCTTCTCTATGGCTCTGAAACATGGCCAATACGCGTTGAAGACATGAAAAGGTTGACCGCTTTCGATCATAGATGTCTGCGATCCCTGTCTCACGTTAGGTGGTTTCATAAGGTAAGTAATGTTGACGTTAGGCGTAGAGTGTCGGGCAAAGAGGGAAAATCAATCGACGAGGCTATAAAGTTACATAGATTGAGATGGCTAGGTCACGTGCTTCGCATGCCTAACCATCGCCTCCCCCGACGGGCATTACTAGCTGATATAGGTGAAGGTTGGAAAAGAGCCAGTGGTGGCCAAACAAAAACATGGCCTCATCAATCCATGAAATCCTTGACAGTTAAACTGAGTCAGGTAGGGAGATGCAGACTTCCGGGTTGGGGCCCTCGGGACTCTAGGAATCAATGGCTGGAGACAATAGGTGACATGGCTCAAAATCGTTGTCAATGGCCAGCGCAGATGTATTCAGTCTCTGTAATCTTTCATATTCCTTTCTACCATTACCCATTCTGTTTCACTCTTATACTTGTCAAACTCTATTGATTCTCTTCACTCATCTTCTTGTCTACCTCTGTGTGCTATTTGGAACGTGGCAACTCGAAGTGGTGCACTTCGGTGCCAAGTTCTATATTGAATCCAGATAGACAGACAGAATAGCCATTTCTAAATCAGTGAATTTCATATAAATTTATCAACAGTTCAAAGACTATCTGTAACTAGATAGCTTTTGTCCTAAATCACTCTAGAAACCTAAAATTTACAAAATCTTTACCTTGGATGTGTGTTCAGTAAGTCAATATTGAGCAAACTACATTATGTTTGTATTTAGTTATGGTGAGAGCTGTTTGCAAGACAAAATTGTAGACAACAATTGAGGTTAATGTTTACGTCTCAAATCTTGGTCATGAGAAAAAACCAGAACACAGCCTAACCTTGAGGAACTCAACAACCAACCACAGAAGACTTAGCGTAGGCGGATACGATTAGCAGATTAATCACCGGACTGTTTAAGAAACGGCAACAAAGAGATGACAGAGTAACCTTCAGCAGGAAAACAACCAATCAGAAGACGTTGCTTCTCTGCCAGCAATAACGAATAATAATGTACATAAAAATCTGTAAATATCTTTTGACTTTCTCAATAAACAATCTGTTGCCTGGCCCTTTTCTTATGTCGTTTCACAGTAAGTTTAAATTACAGAAGCATTTGGTAGACCTGCAGTTCTTGAAGTAGAGATGTAAAGAAAAGGCTCGCTATCTTTATTATACATTTTAAAGCTGTAGAAAAAAATGTTTCGAATAAGTGTTAGTCTATGCTAACTTGGTTTGTCACACTTCATAATAGTTCATATTTATATCAGAGATATAGAAATCCAAGTGATAACTAAATAGAAAGAAAATATTGTATTTATAAACTTTGTCCAGCACCGATTATATTTAACGGTTCTGTTGTGATTTTCAACACTGACATGCGCCACGATAATTCTTAGTCTTCCCGAAACCATTGTGTTATATGGATGATTGAGAATCGCGGTTCATTTTATAAGTGGTATAGTACGCATCCCTTGAAAAGACAGTCTTTCTAATAATCCACATGATGTCAGTCCAACCGTTTCTCTGGCGACAATTATTTTAGCCATTGCTCTAAAAACTTAATTTTCCATCCCCAGTGCCGGTGTAGAGGAACAATCAACATTTCGATATTAGACCACCTGATCTTAATGGACCATAAAACCAATATCGGAGAATCTTTTCCTAAAATTTATCGGGCACCCAATTAGAGTATTCTTAACAGCAAAGGACATTGCAATTCGCTTAAAATAACTTTAGCTTCTCGTACAAAAGAAACAGGTTCAGCCGCTATCGCTACCCTAACCCTTTCTGGAACCCATGAATTCATAGATTCTTTAACTTCCCTTAATTCATCTGATATTTACTTTAGTGTTATACTGATACATACAGATGCTTTGGAACTGTGATCTATAGGTTCTATCGATTCGATCTCAGTGAAAACGGGAATGTTGTTAATAACAATAATTCTTTAATTAATATGGACATAAAACTGTAGAATCTGATGAAGAAGTTACCGAAGAGAATATTCTTTTTTCACCAGTCAGTCTTTTGCTGTTTTTATATGTTAGGATGGTGGAATTGTTAAGAGTTCTACTATTTTGTTTGTATGGCTGTTAGAAGAAAGAAGTCACTTCCAATCAGCAGCAAGAAGTGGCAGAAGAGAGCAGTGAAAATAAACAATTCCTAACTCTATCATATTGTATATTTTGACATGAAAGATAAACGTTTACTCTGCCATTCTATTTTATGCTTACCTTGATCACCACGTGTCATCACTGTTGTTGAACAAACAAAATGCTTTTTATAACCTGTTTTACAGGCATTATCTTCTAGGCAAAAGCTTGCTTTATGACCAACAGCCATAAGTTGTTGTTTAGCATTGATTACCTTGTAATAGGAAAATACTTTCATACTATGATAATGCCTAAATTAATAGGAAGCAGAAACAAAATAAGGGGGTGTGAGGATAAATTCAACAATTTCCAATCACATATATTGATTAACAGATATAGAAACAATAATATGAATACTACTACGGTTATTACTGCTAATTCTAATAATAGGGAGTGTTTCATATGAACATGACTTTCAATATTTTTCGCATCAAACAAATTTTAAACATCAGACTTCAAGTATGACCAGATAGGACTGTATTTACTCTTGAGCTATCATAAATGGTTTGAAACCACCCAGTAATTTGAATTGTTTGAGCTTAGTCTAACTGGGCACAGTCTTGATGAGCTCAGCCTCGGGTGAACGAACCAAGAGGTTGTCTAGTGTACAGATCACTTCAACTTGCCTAGCGAACACTGCTAGCAGACGTCAGCAGTTCCCAGCTTCTGATATCAATCGGTAGTGTACTAATGACGATTTGATTTGATAATTATCTCCATCTAAGGTTGTGTTATTATTTCCCTCAGATTTCCGGTTTGTAGTTTCGATATAGATTTTACCACAAAAAGATACCAACTAGAGAATGGATGCGCTGAAGGTTTACTGAGAAGCCATGGTCATTATTGTCCACTATTCCGAGAACGAGATAAATCCTCATCTTTGGCATTAACTGAGTTTGGCGATATATAGCAAAATGACAGAAGTTGTAATTCACGGGTGACTGGATTGTAACCCAGTGGTTGAATAGTCAGAGTGTTTACATCGTAATTTGTTTGTGCTAGGCTTGATCCCTGATGGAATCGTGGATGTGCACTACCGAAGAGTCCCAAACTCTAAATAAGCTGCTGTCCAGTGCTCCTTGGTTTTCAGCGGTTTTCTGACTGATATCTGTTCCTGACGAAGTATACCATAATATTATTTCACTCATGTATTTGTCATCATTCTTTTTACCTGCTCATCCTTTGCCTAGATATTTCTTGCTTCAAATTTGAATAACTGCTATTTCAGCTAACATATTAAAGATTTCTTCTACTACCATGGGAGGATGTCTGAAGTTTGACCGAAGTTTATTATTACTTCTTTTCACATCATTTCAATTCAATTCCAAATCCATCATCTAAATTTAATTTCCGACCAAAAATCCAGTTGGAACAATCAGTCTGTTGTTTTACAATTGTAAACTTGAATTTTTCAAAATAATACTTATCTTTGCTACAGTTTTTATTTCACTGAGCCTTCATGAAGATGTATCACTGTTTTAACTCCCTGTAATCTTTTTTTCCTCATTTAGAAAGAAAATGAACTAATTCATTATTAACAGTACACTGCATCTCTTGATACACTGATAAACTCAGTCTGAAAACGCTGTTCCCAATGATCTCATAATAAAATAGTTTTATTCGAAACGATGATACTCTGTCACAGTGTCTAAATTCACGTGTTATATCAATGAGACTTTTTCCGGTGGATCATTCACAAAGACACACTGTGTTCGATGGTTGTGCGAAATAAGCAGGAGGCCGTGAACCTAGATTTCGTACTTACTGGTGCTTGTCAGCAAGGTGCTTCTGCACCCTTGAAGACTCTAGTGTCCTTATTGAGATTTAAACCATTGTCACCTAGTTCTGCCTCCATAAGTTTACTACTAAGCTATCTGGGCTGCTGTTGGACTTGGCAGCATAAGGATGATAACATCTCAGTGATCATTTTGTGTGAAGTCATATTTATTTAAAGGTGTCTTTGTCTGTTTTAGTACTACAAATGAAAATCTTATACATATATGATTATTCATACGTTAAATGATCAATTCTAAACTAAACAATTAATGTTTATCCATCAATCAGTTTAGTCGCATTTTCATAACTGTAAAGTACATATTTGTGTAATGATGTTTATACTCGATGAATTTATAGTTTAGTATTTATAAAATTGCGGTGCGTCGGCGGTTCAGAAGAAAGGGGAGTTTGGGAATGAGGCTAGAAACCCCACCTCGTAAAAACACCACAATATCTGCCAAAACTTCAGAGCTTAAAGTTTGAAATCGAATGTTTCAGTCGGAGCGCAAATGAATAGAAAAAAATTATGAAATCATATGTAGTATGACTTTATTATATGAATACATGTACATATTCTATTTAACTTACATATGACATGCATGCCATATCCAACGTTCAGGTGGTTCATGTGGACGAAATACATCTGTACCAACATTGTGTATAATTGATGAGAAACGCAATAATCGACGCATATGCATTAAAGCTAAATGTCGATTTCTATTTATTAAGTTGTACACACTCGGTGGGAAGCAGTTCTCTTCTAAGGCACATTGTGCTTGAAATAATGGAATCATACTACTGTAGGCTGAAGCTTCTAAAGCTTGTACATCTGGTTCTAAATCCGCTAAGACTAAAATGATTAAAAGAAGAAGTAAGTTGGATACATCAATACACAGTCATTAATAAAAGCCAATCAGAGACATATTGCAATCTCCAATTTTCTTATAAGAAATCACGTTTTGTCTTATGGAATAAATGATAAAATACATCTATGTATATAAAGGTTTATTTTAATTTTAAACTTTTATTTGAAGAACTTATTGGAGAAGACTTTGAAAGTGTTTATTTCAAACTAGCTGACATTTCTGAGTTCCTTCCCAGTCATGTGGTTAGGCGAAAATTCTAAATCATCATCGTCATCATCAGAAAATCATCAAGAGAAATCACACACTAGGCCATCGCTCGAGTGAACCCGGATGGGAAACGACGAGTCGGTCGTCCGAGGGTGATACGGAGGAAGTCATGTGAAGAGGAGATGAAAGCATGTGCGCAGACGTGGAGCCAGGTGAAAACGTTGACAGAGAACCGAACACAATGGAGACGTGCAGCTGAAGCCCTATATTCCTCTAGGAATTAAAGAAAACAATAATAATAACAGCAAATCAATGGGATCCAATCAGTAGTATGTAAACATTTGCTATGAAGGTGGAAAATCAAGGGGGATTTGCCAATGATAACGAACTGTTTCTAAGTAATTAATTCTCATCATGCTCAAGTTTTCAAGGATATCTTATCGAAAACCTTGTACTTTAGTTAGCCGAAGGATTCGTCAGTATTGTAATACTAATAGTGTTCAAAATAGTCTACGGCAATAGATAAAATTTACAGTTTAGGATCAGGATGGAAATCGCCTTCTGAACTTTAATAGTTGATGGTGAACATTTTATGATTAGGCTTGATAGCACTTTTGGCATTGATTTCATTTAAAAGTGGCATTTACTTTTAAATTGGATGAATAAAATGAGTGCTGAACACGTTATCAAGCTTGGTGATGAAACGTCCGCCATTAAATACAAAACCTTGGAGAACATCAAACATTTTCTAAAATGTTTTACAGTTGAGTAACATGAAAATTCACTTAAGTATTATATGAACGATATTTGGAAATTAAATTTCATTTTGAAGTTAACTATTAATGTACTCTGCGGTTTTTCAGACGTCTTCTGAGCTTAAAATGGGACACCAGACTAATACCTTACGGTTTTTTTCTGTATCACTTTGACACTGACCGCATAGTGTGTTCTTTTGTTAATTTTTAGAAACTATTGTAATTATGCTGAACAGTGAGTCATTTTTACTTGAGAGTGTAGTGCTAGGATGTATGTTTCACTCTATTCAACATTTTTCGTCTGGATATATCCTCATGCTTTTGTCCCCACTGTGAAGTCAACCGGTCATTCATCACTTTGAAGTCATAAAAACAACATTACACTGTAAGTCGTTTACTCAGTGAATACTGGCCTGTTATTTACAATGATAATTACATACTTCAGATATTGATGCAAACACTGATGTGTGTTACGCATGCCTAGCCACCGCCTTCCTCGACCGACGGGCAATGTTAGCTGACATAGAATCAGGTTGGAAAAGAGCTAGTGGAGGTCAAACAAAAACATGCATCAGTCAATGAAATCTGCGATAGTTAGTTTAAGTCAGTCACTTAGAGAGGTGTAGACTTCCTTGTTTGGGTCTCCGGGATGGTAAAAACCAATGGCTGAAGGCAGTAGGTGATATGGCTTAAAGTCGTTCTCAAGGGCGCAGATGCATCCTTGTGACTTATAATATCCAATAAAATTCTATTGTTCTTTCATATTACTACTCTTTATGCCTCATATTTATGTTTGTTATCTCTCTTTTAAATCTCTGTTACTTACTCTCTTCTCTTGCTTTGTCAATGTTTACGTCCCAAATCTTGGTCATGAGAAAAGAACAAGAACGAAGACTAACTCAACAACCATTCACAACAGAATTAGCGTGGGTGGATACTATTCGCAGATATTTGGTCTGACCTTCAAAGAAGCGACCACAAAGAGATGGCAGAATAACCTTCAGCAAGAAAACGACCAATCAGAAGGCTTTTTTTCTCTGCTAATAATAAGGAGTAATAATAATATACATAAAAATCTATAAATATCTTTTGATTTCCTCAATAAACTATGTGTTGCCTAGCCCTTGTCTTCTGTTGTTACACTTGTACTAGGCTAAATGAATAATCGCTTTTCATAAAATATGCCTTCGCTAAATGATAAGGTACAATAATCAATTTTCTTATCAAGGCATTATTTAGTCCGCGAAATATGTACAACCACAGCTTTTTGTGGCAGTTTTCAGTGACATATTAATCTGTATATTGAATAATTTCCCTATCACTGGAGTAACCCGCGTTTCAGAGTGATTACATAAAGGAATACTGAAGCCCATCGTTTAGTTTTTTGATAGTTACATAATTTATGCAATGTATCTGCTGTTTATTCCGACCTAAGGCATAAAAAAACAACCATCTAGTACAAATAATCTTTTGCTATAGAAAAGGGTGATGACTAGCAGCTGAAACCATTATGTTCTTTCTGCGACATACTGACAAGATGGACTTGCATATCCGTTTAGTATTCCCAATGAGACAAAAATCCAGTAACCAACGTTACGTTGATAGCCAGTGTGCTGTGCTGCGAGAACTGTCTCTCTTTCCAGAGAGTTTTAGTGTGAACATTGTCATTTACTAGAGTGCACATACATCCAGATAATGCGTCCTACATAGGGAGCAATGCCCGTCTCACTTTCACCGCTAGTCAATATCTAGTAAACAACTTTGACTTTAGACTAATGGCGTTATTAAAGCACTGGCGCTTACATAAAGTGATCATTTCAGTCCAGTCAAACAAACCATAGGAAATCAAAAATGTCACTACTTATTACTCTGAAATTATAATTACAATCATTTGTAGACAAATTGCTTTCAGAATGATGATCAGTGCAGCTTCGTGATTCTACTTTGATTGATGGATGTCGACGAATTAGAATGTCCGATTACGCGTACCTGCCTACCTTTTAAAGTCCTATGGTTTAAATCAATGAATGATAGCCAGACACAAGTTTTAAATATGCGGTAAAGGGAATTAAGAGTTTATCATGTACACATAAATTCAAAAAGTATCAATTCACCTGTTGTACAGTTGACCACAATTCCTAAACTTTTATTTGAACATGGTACACCATTCGGATCCGTAAAAGTGATACAATCTTCTAACCTTGACTCATTTCCAAAACAATGTCCAATGCGTACAAGTGGATAAAGTTTAGTCAAATTCATGTTTTTCAATGGTACCTTGAAGTATAAATATGCAATTTATTAACTTTATAACACTGTAAGAACAAAAGTGATTTTTGGTCTCAAAATGAATTATGTGTTCATTCAAACTTGAAGTATTTCAAGGCAATCATTTCCCTTGATGATTTTAGATAACTATTCCGTCCTAGTTTGGGACTCTTCTCAGTACTCACCCACACTGCCAGGTTCGAACCCAGGACCTTCTGGTTAGAAGGTGAGCTCGTAGACCACCAAGCCACTGGGAACCCCTATGGATGCGTCCTGATGAAGAGTCCCAAACTAGGACGAAACAGCTGTCAAGTACTCCGAGGTTTTTCAATGGTTTTCTAGCTGGTACCAGCTCATGTTGAAATTCTCCAACCAACCAATCAAACTAAATCCCTACGAAAACCAATACTTGATTTTAGATAAGATAATAACAAGACGTTTAATGTACTTGTTCAACACATTTCGGATCGTCTTCGATACAGCTCTGCTTTCATCCTATCGATGTATTTTTACAATGTCTTTGATAACGTTTGGCCAAGACACCTAGAAATTTAAGGTTCATTATTATTGTGTTTAAGATAGGGCTATACTTTACACTAATCCTGTGTTTTGGATTTTACGCGTAACTCAAACGTTTGATTTGCTAGATCGAAAGTTAAATTGTTAATTATCATTCCGTATTTCTAAGAAAAAATCGACATAGCTTGTCTTGTCATGGTTATGCCGGTTAATTTAAAGCATTAATATTGCTGTTATAGATGAATACTTTTGTACAATCAGTCAACAAGAAAGCCAAATTGAATTAAATAATTACTAATACCCTTTGCACAAGAGGTGGCTGTCGTGGCTCATCTGGTCTAGTGGGTAACGCTAGTTGCGTCTGAAGTATAGATACTGGGTTAGAGCCTCAGTGGGAATACCATCACTCACTGGAAATTGCAGGCACATTCAGATGACGAGTCCTGAGTGGGACAAAGTGTGCTTCGTGGATTCCACTGCTAATCACCACCCACCAATTCATTTCAAGTTAAATGATCTCGAATTCTCCATAATTGGTAGACTGCTAATCTCATTTTTACCGTATGTGGTTGCAACATAAAATAGCTAATACTCATCTTCATATACTAAATTAAGGAAAGTATCTAGAAGTCCCTGTCATTTCAAAAAAAACTTTTCCTGATGAGTTTTAAAAAAGAGGATGCATATGCATACGTATTGAAAATTAAGTTTATTATTTAATGTATTCACTTACCGATGAAAATGATGCAGCGAATGGATAATTAGCACTTCGACAGGCTACATTTGCTTCTGCTCCACGAAAATTATCAATACATATAGAACTAGTAAGCACCTGACGATTACCACCATGCGGGACACGAACTTTGATCTTATGAAGACCGTTAGTGTTTAGTTTTTCTACCTCACTCCAAAATATTTGCTCAGGTATTTTAAAAAATGAACAGGAGGATAAAGAAGAAGATAAAGGTATAAAATTATTTTCTGTTACATTGGCTGTTTTGATCTCTTTGTCACCAATGTAATAATAATTTTTTAAGCATTTCGAATACCTCTTACTCAGCGACTGCTTTTTGATTTTCAAAACAGCCGACTGGTAGGTTGCAGAGAAATCAATGATGCATTTAATCAATTTTTGCAAAGTACTGAGTTCAAGATGAAATCTCATCACAGTTTTATTTATTGATCAGAAGTATCTAGACCCAGTGTGTGGTCATTATGACACTACAGATAACGTCAGTAGCATAATGGTAGCTGACATGATCATTTAGAAACCACTCATATCAACCAGTGGTGACTGCTAGTCGTATTGAGGCTCTCTAATTACCGGTCAGCTGTTTTTTTTATCTATTTGAGACAAGTTTATGGGTAGCATATGATTACTGTTTCGTCTTAAATAGCCGAGTCAGTTTAAATGGCTAAAATATTGGCTAGGTACTTAGGTAGACACAAATACAAATAGTAATAAGACTTTTATGTTGTGGAGAGACCATAAGAGGTCACTGAATCTTTGCTTGTCTTCCCTTAAAGCATTTTTATAAATCTGCTGAATTCCCTACCTTCAGGAAATAACAATCCTAGCCAAAGTATGCTAGATAGGTTCCTATATGATCTAAATGGCTAATTATCTAAGTATTCAGGTTTGGAAAAGAGTGATTCAAGTTAGAGTCTTCCGTGAAATGTGAATTTAATATCATCATTTATGAATGATGATGATGCAATATGAAAAGCAGGCCTAGTTGAAGCAAGACTTCCTGTCTTCTGAATCCTCAATAAATTCCATAAATGACAAGTAAATTAAATTAAAAGTGAATAATGGGAATGGAGGTTCAATGAAAAAATGGTAGCGAACCACGGAAGAGTCCGTATAAATTTCTAGCCAACATACACCTAAACTGAAAAAAGCCATGTGTGAGGCTAGCACCCACACCCTTTAAAAGAATACTACTGCTACAGAAATCCAGAGCTCCATGTTCCACTCAGGATGCAGTGAAGAAAATACCATGCAATGATTCTGAGATCAATAATATAGGTCAAAGTAGTAGGACGGGGTCTTTAGATTAGCAGAACACACACATTTAATGAATAATGTACGATTGGAGTTTAATAAGATAAGAATCTAAGAACAAAATTCAGATTTTCAACACCAATGTATGAGTCAGTTCTTCTGTGTGGTTCAGACACTTGGTATGTGCGTCAAGAAAAGCACTTCCAACAGACTGATGCAAATTTTTATCAGCAGATGCCTTCACAGGCTCCATACTGAAGGTCAGAAGCCCTGAAGTGATTAGCGACAAGAAACTATTGGAAACAACCAACCAAGAACCTATTGCCTAAGAAAATGGAGATGGTTTGGGTATACGCCGAAGAGACCATTGGGTAACATCGCGTGCCAGGCCACTGTTTAAGTTGTGTGTGAGTTCGAGTGTGACGCGGAGGAGATGAAAGCTTATGAGTAGCCTTTGGGTCAGCTGAAGAAGACTACGAGAACATGGTGAAGTGGAAACGTGCTGGTGAAGTTCTATGTTCCACTTGGAATGCAAGGGAGTAAAAATAACGATAACATGATACCACTAAAAGCATTTACACAAAACCACGCAATAGGATGCGAAAAGGTGATAGTCTTATAGATTGAATTGAAACAAGCTGACTGCTGTAGCTTTATGTAAGGAATCGACCGAGAATACATGAAGAAAAAAAGGGTTCAGAACCTGTCCAAGGCATCTACTACCCTTATGACAAACGGTAAATAAGAACGAGAACTATAAAAAATCTATTCTCGAAGTTGTCTGATTATAACTTGTATGAACGTGAACAACAGTTTTTATTCGGAACGTCATCCAATAAATAATACTGTTTCACTGCGAAATATGTCCAATCAACAGATTAATATGGAATTCATTTGTGGATACTTGTTTATGAGTTCTTTGTAATATAATATAAATATAAGGGAGAATAGAATCATAGCCTTTCAAGGGGAACAAACAGAGCTTTTAGTTACGGATGAAATATGACCCATTTAGTAATGGTAATTTTAATTACTTTCATTATTACTATACTACTTTTCAGTAGTTTATGTAACCTGCATCAAATTTAAAGCTATTTTTGATTCTTAGTTTTTTTTTGTGAAGCCCATTGTATTACATTAGTTATTTCATTTTCTGGTTACTTTTTAGTTTTGAGACACTTTTTCTATCATAATTACTTTCTTCATTGAATTATCTTTACTAATCAAGAAAGCTTTCGAAACTAATGAGTTCATTTGAAAAGTAACTCGGATTTTTTCTATTCCTTCATGTTCCCAGTGGAACATAAGGCTTCATGCTACAGGCCTGAAGTTTCGGTAGCAGTGGTGCTTATTTTTACGGAATGGGGTTGTTAGCCATACGCATAGCCTTCCCTTATTACCAGTCACATTACTGGCTTAGCGAGGTAAAGGAGCACGTCGGCCGGGTAAACATAAATTATTCTGGTATTTTGCTTCTTGTTCATCCTTTCACATGATGAGTATGGACATTGAGCGAAAGTCCTGTAGTTCACTATTGAAACTGACGAAAACGATCAACAATTTATTTGCAGGAGAGGGGAGTTAAAATATTTTTTGTATTTTTTTTAAAATCAGACTTCGAAATGTTGTCTATTTTACAACAGTAACACCACGCTTATACGGTGTGTGATTTTCAGTAGATCGTTCTTTGATTCGTTATACCGACCTCATAACAACAAAGTTTCTTTGTAAACTTTGTCAGTTTTTCTAAATTTGTGATGATGTTGTCGAATCAATGAAATGAAAGTCTCTTAATCTTCTACAGTTATTATCAACGTAGATGAGTCACATATAAAAGAACAGTATAAACTTCAGACCTTTAATATTTTAATTTTGAATATTTCATTGAAGAAGTAGTTTGGACCATTTTGTTGAACGAAACATTGGAATTATTTGTCTCAGTTTCACTGAGATTTTTACAAATATAATCTTTACATATTTCCACTTTACACTCGACTCTCAGTTATCGTGGGACTATCCAGTCAATTATTGATCACAGTTTGCATAAACTAGGAACAATTATTTAGCGGTTTCTGAAAGTTGTAGGAATAAGTCATGTTTTGAGCAAAGAAAACATTTTTAAGGTGAATTTAATTTTCGCATAGCTCATAACGAGTGTAATCGCTGATTCAAGATACTCAGAAAACATGATTAATTACTCGTGTGTATTGGATCAAAAGTGTCATTTTCAAAAGAAGGATATCTAAATAACAGTCCGCTTCTTTGGAAATTAAGAAGACACACATCACAAAATGTGGTCTGAATTCAAGTGGAATGAGCAGAATCATTCTGATTGCATTTCGGAAAATTTGTCTCGAAACGGGCGAAACACACGTTCAGTGTTTAAATCACCTCAGTCTGGTGAGTCACTATTAGTAGTTAGCAAAATTGGTTTTCAGCTGAGATTATCAATTAACAATAAATATCATGTTAGTATTTACGCTTGAATCTAACAGATATAGTTCAGTTTTCTTCTCATCTCTACTTGAGACTATTGGATAAGGTGTATTTGTCTTAGTGTTGGTGTTTGCACTCAAGTTAATAAGCGGTGTTAGGTAGTCAGTCCACCAAGGATAGACAACGTTTTGTCTCCTTAAAGTTAACAAAACGAGATTTCAATCAGTGAACATCCAGTATAGGCGGTAGTAAGCCTGGCAAAGAAAGAAGGTCAAGCGAGAGGCTAAAAATACCGTCCCATAAAAGAAGAATATAATTATCACCACTAACAACTCAAACCTGATGCTTGAAGGCCTATGTTCCACTTGGAGCGCGAAGGTAATAATACGATGGATAGGATTTGAGTGTTGGGATGGAATGTTCTAGAGATGTATCTGTGATGTTTCAGGGGATATATTCATGATTCCGGTTATAGGATTCAGTGAATATTTCAAAATTGGATTATACTTATGACATGCATTGAACAGCATCTGTAAAATGTGTCATCTAGGCATTAAATTTATGTGGTGATTTTGTTTATCATGAATTCATAATCCCCTCGCATGCACATTTTCCAGACTAAATAAATCATTCTGACAAATTATATTAATGATATGAAATAAATCACAACTAGAAATTCATTTAATTAAAAAAAATAAAATGAATGTCATACTAAAAGATATTTAAGTTGTTTATTTCCTCATTTTAGGGGAAAACATTTCTTGTTCTTGCTAACTGAGACTAGGTGTAAGTTATTCCATTGAAGTCATCAATTTTGTATTCCTCAAATTCCTTGTGGAATATAAGGCTCCAGGCATGAAGCCTTGGGGTTTCATTAGTAGTTGTGTCTTTTCTTCATGGGGTGGGGTTGCTACCCTCACGCTGAACTGTCCCTCTTTTCCAGGCTTGCTATCTTCTAGTAAATTAGGGGAGGATAGGGAGTGCTTCCGCTGGGAATTGAACCTTTAACCACGTACAAAGTTTGCAAACACTTATAAATCCAAACATCTTCTTGATTTCGATACAAAGTGACCTCACACAGTTCATCAGGTTATTAAAAGCTGACTTGCTGGTACACAGTTTTATTAGCTATGTACTACAAAGAATAGAAATGAAGATATATTGGTAAAACGATGTAAGGGGAATTTGACTAAGTAGTTAGTTAGTGGACATCTATATGTGTAGTTGTACTACCAGTTCTTTAGAGTTGAACATATTCTATTTTCTGGGTTTACCATATATAGTCACTAAAGAAGGTGTTTCACCATTGATATTTGGTAGTAAAGTTTTGAATTTTAAAAATATCACTAGCTAAAAATTAAGCATTTTTAACTGTATTTACCTAGTGTATTCTTATTATTCCCTTGAGCTCCAAGTGGAACAAAGAGCTTCAGCAGAAAATCTACATTTCATCTTTTTCTCTGCAGTCCTCTTTGGTTGGCTATATAATTTCCATAAGCCCTCACCTTCTCTTCACTCAGTCTCCTCTCTGCCGCTACCTCACTATCGCCAAATTCATCGTTTCCCACCCGGATTCCACTCGACGGCGTCGCATGTGATGTCAGCCAATAGTCTGTTCATTGTGTGACCGATCCACTTCCATTTCTCTTGGCATATTTCTTGGTCGATAGGTTCTTGGTTGATTCATTGCCCATGCTGCTTATCTTTTCCTGCAAGTTTCTGGTATTCAGTATGAAGCAAAGGCAGGTGTTGATGAAAATCCTTGGTAGCCTGTCAGAAATGCTTTTGGAGACGCGTCAAGTCTGTGAATAATATACAGATCTGACTTGATATTAGTGTTAAAAATCATGCTGAGAGCAGCAGATTTCCACACTTATTTAAGATTAAGAAAATCTATCTTGCTTTTCTGATCCTCCCTCTGACATCCTCATCTGTGACGACTGTAGTTGAAACGATGCTCCCCAGACAACTGAAGCAGATGAATTTCTCTTAGATTGCTCCCATTGATGTGACTAATGCTTGTTATTGTTGACTAGGTAGGTATCTTCATCACCTTTAGTTTGTCTATGTTCACTTTAAGTCCTGTTTTCACTTCATACCTCTTCTGATGTGTGCGTTGGTGGCACAGTGGTTAGGGCGCTTGCGACCATGCACACGATCCGGTGTTCAATACCGGCCGACGCACTCCTTCACCTCGCTAAGCCAGAAATAATGATAGGAAAGAGGAAAGGTTGGGCATGAGGCTAGCAACCCCATCCTGTAAAATTAAACACTGCTACAGAAACTTCAAGCCAATAACTTGAAGCCCTATGTTCCACTGGGAACGTGAAGGAAAAAAAACCTCTTCTGATAGCTTCTTGTGGCACTAGATATAAATCACCCATAAGTCAACATCTTCCAGATTTTCCTTGTCAGATTAATGTGCGCCTGCTGCATTCCCTAATGAGTGTCAAAAAGATGAAAGATGAGTTCAAAGCTTTACGCCAGTCTCATTCGCTTTTACTGTATTCATTAACTTTTTGTTATTTGTGACGTCAGAGGGACACTTTTGTAACTTCGTTACTTATTTATATGTTACAGTTATCTTTTGATCGTTTAGCTGAAGGACATTTACATTGTATAACTGAAATGCCTTTTTGGGTGTCACTCCAAATAAAATCAATTGATTTGTACTATTTAGAAGTCATAAAATGAATTCAATATACAGTTCAGTAGTTTCTAGTTTACAGTGTTTTCTGTAAACTATAGTAAGTGGGAAATTTATATTGGAATCTGTATACTTTTAAAAGTTTTAAAAAGTAAAAATAACAATTTTGTATTTGATTTTATAATTTATCTTATACTATCTAAGTTGATTGACATTTAAGCTGAAATAAGTTGGCATCCTTTTCAGATAAGCAACAACACTTTTATTATAGACTCACTCACACACACACACACACAAACACACCACAAGGACTGATGCCTAGAAAATTGTTTATATATTGAATTCCCATCTTAAGTATAAGTAGTATCACGAAAAGGTTTACGCAGTGAAGTAAAACAAGAACTAAGGGGAAGAATTAGTGCTTAAAGAAAGTAAGATCTTCGCGTCTTATTCATCCATGTCTGCGTGTATTTCTGGTGTAAAGAAAGTGTGCTCTGATACAAGATTATAAAAAATTACTCTTGAGTTAGTAATGAAGTTCATTAGGTATAAAGTAATATATATATATATATATAATATATTGTACATTGAAATAAGCGAATTATTTGAAAGAAAGTGTTTACATTAGCCAAATTTACCCATTTACTTCATCTTGTTTTTGAATACGACTAATTTTTGTCAGTTTATTTTTTGAAATTTTGTATATCGTTGTCCTTAAGTCAGTGGAAATCAGACATTATTATTAAAATGATTATTTCAAAAAGGAATCATTGCAGGTGTTTATTTTCTGTTAGTCGACAAATGCACTTTTTAAGTAGTCAATTCAATATTCTAAAAATATGTTTATTGTTTATATAATAAGATATCCATCTTATTTTAATTCCTAATTATTTAAAATAACTTGAAAACAAGTGTGCATAATTATAACATTAAAAATGATTATTTCAAAGTAGACTTTGTCACGAACAGAATTATATATCAGGGGGAGCAGGCACTTGTTTCATCTTCATTTGGGATTCTTCAACAGTACGCATTTATAACCCCACCAGCTTGCTGGCTCTTTACTGACACTGGATGGAAGTAGGGAATTGACAGAAATTAAAAACCACGAGTCACCGAACTCTAACACAGTGGCTAAATGGCCGACGAGATTTCTTAATAACCAGACTTTCCTGGATCTGGTCTCTAGGTGCACACTGTTGAAAAATTTCATATTCAGAGATACATGGTGCTTCCTGGTTCTTAGTGATTCTCTAGCTGATTTCAATTAGTGAAGAAATCCATCTTTGGATAAGACAAATCCCTACATCCCGAAATACTTTAAAATTGGGATATTAGCGTTTAACACTAGGTCAGTTTGAAAGATTAAAAATTCACTTGATCGATGCTAATACGCTTTCTCATTTGCATGTGACTGCTTGATATTGATGTAAAATTATGAACATTGGATTAGTAATGTGGCTGTTGATTGAAGTGTGAGACTATCGGTATTCGAAGAAGTCTAAGGAATAATTACCATACAACAGATGTTTTAACTAAAGACTAATAACCAAGTAGTTGTTTTGTCCTAATATAAAGCTTTTAAGCATTGTGTATGTATTTCCGAAGGAGGTACAATTCAGAGACTTGAAGCAACCCTTCACTATCTATTAGCAAGATACTAGTTTATTGTAGAGTTTAGCCGTTTTGTGATATAATGCAAATGCTGTTACTTGTGTAATACTTGCTACACAAGTCATTCAAAAGCCAATCATTAGAATCTTTCCCGTTCTATACTGTTGTAATATTTTATATTAGTGCATATTATGTGTATAAATTACTATTATTATGGCGTTAAATAATGTTCAGATCAAATTCAGCAACTAGAAGTACAAGTAAACCTCCTTGGTCATGGAACATACTCTGAGTTCTCCATAAGAGTCACATGATTATCCGTGGAATGTGACGCTTTTTCTTCTTAAGTAGCTCAGAAGTAATAAAGGTCATTCATTTTATTCTATACAGCTAAAATTGAAAAAAATCTTTTTTGTTTTACTATTTATTTCATTTCTGAAGAGCTGAGTAAATACCAAAGGTGGTTTCAAAAGTCTGTTATTATCACAAAGTTCATGCATACATTAGCATTCAACATTACACTAGTTACAATACGTCCCTTGAAATAGATGTGCAGTTAAAAAAAGAACTAGTAGCCATTTAATTAATTTATGCAATAGAATATTTAACTTCTTATTGAACTGATTACAGACATCCTTTTTACCTAATGTTCTTTGAATGTCAAACATTGACCTTGAAATTGCATTATTATTCACTAACTTTAACTCTTGTATAACGAATTGTTCGCTCATCCCTTTGGAGTTCATTATTACTGAATGTGTTGTTAATTGAATTTCTTATTTTTTTAGAATTTTTTAAATAATAACTTAAAAAGGCTGGATTGGAAAAGCAAGACTGACATTTATTACTTAGAAATCAGTACAGAAATCTACTGCATTCAGCTTTAGGAACAAGACAGAGTTTTTCAACACTAATTTCAGTTGAGTAGTTTGATACAGTTCAGAGAATTGGCGTGTGAGCCACAAAAAAGCATTCCCAACAGTCTGCTTCAGACGTTCATCAACAAATGCCTCCTGTGCCTCAATACTGACAGCTAGGTGACCAAAATGAATAGGCCACACGAAAATTCAGCCGTACAGTGAGCCCATCGAGGACTTATTGCCCAACAAGTCTGCAGAAGGAAGTGTGAATGTGTCTGATATACGCTGAGAAGACCGTTGTGTGATATCGCGCATCAGACCCTCGAGTAGAACCTAAGCAAGAAACTATGGGATGATGGTTTTTCTGGGGGTGATATGAAAGAGATCGTGTAAGGAAGAAATAAAAGCTATAGAAAACCGTTGAGCCGGCTAAAGAGGACTGCCGAAAACACGATGATTTAGAGGTGTACTGTAGGAGCTCCATGTTCCACTTGGAACACAAGGGAATAACAATAATATTTTGAAAAGATGCATTCTGAACAATTATTCATTATGATACCCGATCGAGTCATTCAAGCTGAACAATACTTTGATGGCTGAGATTATGAATTTAACCTCAGGGAGTTTCATATTCATTTTTGAACATATAAAATCGCTTAGTTATACTTAAATTTACTACACTACAAGCTAAGAGGAATTTGTTTGTAGAAAGCCTTGCTTCAATCTAAGTTAAGTTCTTCCACTTACCATTGGAAAGATGTGTATGCAGTTTTAAGAGACTATATAATTCTTGTGACTTTAGCTTCCATCCCCCAACGTTAAAATAATTAGATTGCAGCTGACCAGTTGACGGATAGGACTGTGTTTGCAAATAGAAAAATTCCAATAAGTTTCAAGACAATCTTTCCTAGTATACAACTGCAATTTTTAAGAAGGCATTTATAAGCCTTAGGTGTTCTCCTAATTTGAATTTTTGTTTAGAAAACTTAGACAACCGTAAATATCTTAGAAATTGCTCTATTAGTCTGTAGCAGACTTGAAATTCAAAATTTTTATCAAGTGTAAAGAAGAGGTGAAAATGTAGACTGCTTATTACTTACCTTTCGCATTTTTTTCACTTCAGTAGGGGATAACTTTTCAATTAGTGGATTTCTAACATTGTATTGCCATTTTATCGGTTCAGGGTTAAGACAGATAACACCAGCCTCTTCACGCTTTAAACAATCATGTTCCGTCCAATAAACACATGCATTCAAATGTGACTCACTCCCTTTACAATAAACATCATCCATTAAATAATCATCTAATGGGAAGAGAATTTAAAAGAGAAACAAGATAGGTAGAGATTACAAATCTTATTAATGAAAAAGAATTTAAAAGCTATATACTACTGATTGATTGAGATGAGTAGTTGTATACCACTCATATCAACCAGAAGTGCTTGCTAGTCAGATCTAGGTGATCTAAACATTGGATGACTGTATCTCACATTTACGGTCGACCTCAACAGTGGTTTACCCGGTTTGACTCAACTCAGACAGCCTAATCAACTGAAACCACCCGATTTCTGTCTAGCTACTTGAGAGAACTGGTAACGCCATAGGTCAAATTGACAGGTTGCCAATTAATTCGTTGTTTGCAATTTACACAGTTTGAAGAGATGAAACTCATCACAGTTTACTTTGGACACCAGATTACTTAGATTACGGTATGTGGTCTACTGATATCATAAATGGCAGTCAAAAATGCATCATGAAAATGGTGCCAGTAACTAGCCTGTGAATTAGCGTCATAAACTATTTAGCCATGGACAGCGAAACACCTAGTTGTGTAAGTGAAAGTGTATTTGTTAAAAGTGTAACAGTTAAAAATGTCACCAAAACGGGAAACCAAAATTTAAAAAGAAATGTGTTAGTAGCAACAATTTACTTTGAAGTATTTCATTAATGCATTTACATAACTCTAATTACATGTGATAAAACATGGTAAAAGTCAAAGCAGAACAGTCTAATCACAGATGAATTCGACGTTATGTGGTCAGTTTACGAGGTGATTCTTATTACCTACGAATCTTAGCATTTCGGTTTAAATTTCTCGAGTCTGATTCTTTACAAAATTAGAAGTTTTTGCTGTCATAATTATTTTTTCCTGCTATTTCAGATGACATGGATTGACACACTGATCATTCATTATGCGTTTGATTCAAAATAGCAGTTAAAAACAAACTGAAATTCGAATTTCAGCAATATCAATTTACCCCTCAACAAATATTATGTGAAGCCAAGTTTCTAACATGGTATCAGTCACATTCTGCTATGTGAGATTTCCCTTCCAACTACTACTGCAAATGAGATATGTAACTGTTCATCTTTTTACCACCAAGCTGCCTAACACTGACTAATTCTAGACAAGTTTGAAGTTCTGTTATATAAGTGTAGCAGCATAACTGACGTAAAAATCCCTGCATGGGTAATCTATTTATAATATTCATAATTATTTGAACATTTCAACTTATTTTTTAATTACTACCAATTTTTCCTAATCTGTATGTCACTGTTCTAAAGTTTGCATATCTTTTTTTTGACTTAATCCTTATTATTATTATTCGTCTTGGTTTTTAGTTAATCACTATTTATAATGCTTCTCTATCTTGTTATGTGATGCGACTTTTACTAACGTGTTGTTTTACGAATGCGACTCTCTTTGAGTAAAGTCAAGGTGACACAGAGAAGTGACTGCATGACTCTGGACTGTCTGCATGAAGCGTGTTTGTTCTGCTAACTCTTACAGACACATTTTTGACCTTACCATGTTGGGAATATTCTTTATGATTTCTAGGTAATTTATTATTGTGTTCTAGCGACTAGTTTTTTTTGTAGAGTTCGTGTTTTGTACCTGTGAACCTTTTGAAGTGTGTGGCTGCCAAACAGCATTGGTCAGGTAGATTTTATTTTCAACCTAAGCTACTGTTTTCAAGAGTTGATTTGTTTTTCAAGTTTGGACACAGGTTGATATCAGTTGAAGTACAACTGAAAACCATGAAACACTGAATAAATGTTTTATCCTAGTTCGGGACTCATCATCAGTACGCACCATAGTCTAACCCATAAAACAAATCAAATCCTTGAAAACCAACTCTTGAAAACTCATCTGATACTCGCTAGTGACTTGCTACAGGACGGAGTTTCCTGGAGATTTAGTGACAAGTAGTGGTCTGTGAGGAGCATCCAGTCTGGAGTGAGGATGGATTTTCCCTCGATAACATTGGTTATTGGTCGTGATAGATATCACGAATTGGTAGAAGTTAGAATTCATATAAAGTGGCCATTTAATCGGGTCCCAGTGACTGGATGGTATACGAGCTTGCTTTGAAACTGGAAGTCCTGGGTTCGAACCTCACTGGGTGCTTACTGTCAGTCATTCCTAAACTTCGATGAAACAGATGTACAGTACTCCCTGGTTTTTAATAGTTCTCTAACTGATATCAATTCGTGGTCGAACTTGGAAAAAAATCTACTATTGTTGAATTTTAACACAGATCCCGTCACATCAAGTTGTCTTTCGGATATTATTGGAATATAACTTTGAACTGTGAGTCGCTTGCAGAAAATGTGTTAGCGTTGGTTACTTTACCGCTTTCCAACCGAATTACTCGATTTTTAGTCTTTACAACTAACTTAAAGTCAGACTATTAACCAACATGACAGAATATCATTCCAAGAAATTATTCGAACATTCTGTATGCAGAGTGCATTTTTAAGGCTTATCTTTAGGTAAAACTATGTCAAAAAAATTATTACAAGATGACTAGCCTTCAAATACATGCGCAAGCAAAAAGCAAGCTAATGTTCACAGAAAATTGATTCATGCCTTCATTCTAGTAGGATGAATCAGAATATATTGGCCATAGTTTCTGGTAGACAAAGTATTCCAGAAATTTGACACAATCACTTTTTCGTTATTTGATAATTAATACTTATTTCCACATTAGAGACAGTGGCAACAATGTGTCTGTGAATATGTGCACTTCTTGTTGACCTGCATGTAATCAATAGGGTGCGACACGTGTTTTCATTGAAATATGCATAAATAAAAGCAGGTCACTTTCTACTTAACAATGCATACTACTTAAGTTAGTATTTGTCTCACTCAATGAAAATGAAGACACATTTACTAAGTGACTGGGTGATCTTCTAGAGACTTGAAAGATGGGATTCACCTTTCCACTATCGACCAGAGCTAAGGTCTAGAAAGACCATCTGATGTCCAATTTGTATGCTTCACCACTCCTTCGAAAAGTTGGTCGTGACTAAACCGGATTTATAGATGAACTTCTGTCTTGAAGCTCTGTGACATAGGTCTATATCTCTTAGAATTGCGTAGCAATGACTACGAGGTATTTTTTGTAACTCAGTAAGCAAACAAATTCTTCGGAGTTGTTAGATATTACCCATCATTTGGTAAATTTGATGAAAGTTTCCTTGTGGAAAACTGATACCATTTTGAGTTTCTTTAATCATTACAAAGAAAAAAGAACTTTTACTTATTTAATATTAGTGTTTTTGAGAAAGGCCTTACAACAAAGATGCTGACTTCTTGATGTGAAGACTGCCTGATACATTGTTAGCAAATAATTTTACCAACATGAATAAACTTTTTATAGGTAAAGAATACAGGAGACTAATGTAGAATATGCTTAAATATGCCATGCAATGAAAACTAATGTCAGTTTCTTATACTTATTTGGTGGCAGTTAGCAATGAAATCCAGGACGTGTATTTCGTACTATCTGGGAGTCGTCTAGATGCATCTACATTCATAGTAATGGATGGTACTCCCACTCAAACTTAAACCCAACCCTCATAGTTTCAAACTCCAAAGCGTTCATGTCATATTGATTCTCCCGTTGACCGATTTTGTTGGTCTAGCCTCTGATGACATGTCTATTCTTTGTATGGAGAGTACGATAATGCCTTAAGGTTAACATCGTGTTACCACTAGGTTAAGACGTAAAATTCATTTATTTCTTCTATGTTATTGTGGACAAAATTAGTCTAGACTTGAATAATTAGATAAACAGATGTTCCGACAAAAGGAGATACCATCTGTGACAAGTTAAGTGTTGTTCTTCTAATAGAATTCCCGACTACTGCAGATTAGTCTACATCTTGCAGCTCCATTACCAAACCATATTTAAGACCACTTCTGTAAGATTATTCACTTTGAATAATCTGGCGAATAAAGTGTGGTCCATGACTATCATAAACAGGACGGTGCATGCGAATTCGTCTTCATTTATATCCTTCAGTGTAGCCATTCAGGGCTAAAAGTTGAAGTTGGAAGTCTGTTGAAAATGTGAGATCTGATTAGTGAGCTACTTGGTCATACACTGTAATTCACATTAGGTTTTAGTGACCGACCCACGGGATTCCTACTTCAACTTGCTATAGCATTTTTGACCACTTGTCAACATGATGGGAATATTTACCACATGAGGGAAAATCATTTTTCTTCTGAGATTTTATATTATATCCCATAGTTCCACAGCTAATGAATTCGCTATCATGTATGCGAATCTGTGGTATTAATAATGTGGAGTGATCTGAAATGGATATCCAAAAGCTGATTTATAATTTTAATGTAAATCTACACTCACAGGTAAGTAACTATAACCAATCCAAGAACAAAGATGTTACTTTTGATTGTAATCGTATTTATGTTTATAAATGAATAAATGAAGAACATCTGTCTTTGCATAAAAAATAATGACAATATAGGTATTCGAGGCAGTATTTTACTTTGTGGACTGTGAAATACACTCTAGTACTACCCGGGTAACTAAATGCCTCCGTTCTGTTTCTAATTTTTGTTGAATCATAGTTTCCTTTTTCGACTATCACTAGCTGAGTTGAACTCGAAATTGTTCGTCCAATTTATTTAATTGTTTGTTTACGCAACAGTTTTACTTTCACTTGTCAGTTCTTTTTATTTCCACTGTCCCCTCTCGAATATGTAGTCTGCTTGATAATATAAGTGGTAATAAGAAGGCAAGCATAAATTCATGGAACTGCATACTACTGATTAACTGAGATGAGTAGTTGCATGCCATTCATATGAACCAGTAGTGCTTGTTAGCCAAGTTACTAATACTTATTACTAATTAAAAATACATGAATAGATTTTACAGCCAACTTACATTCACTATTTGAAAAGAAATAATCTCTTGTTGTAGCTTGTAGGGCATGCGGATAACCCAGCATACGGCATACAACATTTGCCTCTTTCAGTGTCCAATTGTCATCACATATTGTGCCCCATTTACCGTGTCGATTAATTAGCACAGTCCCTTCATTTTTAGCTACACCATCGATAAGCATTAAATTTTCAGCGAAACCATGATTTTTTGAGTTTGTTAACTTTTGTTTTTTGAAAATTTTATTAGATGTATTACTGAAATTTTCTTTAGTATTATGATTATTCACTTTTTCTTCATTTTTAATTGGAGAATTCCATATAGCTTCATAACCGTAGACATCATTCCAGCTAGGTAGTTTCATTCTGAAACCACTCACGGACAGGATAGTTACAGAGAGACTTAAAAATAAGATCAATACTCTGTTATTCATAATATTACAAGAAAGCATATTTTAAAATAGGATTCAATGTCTTTTGTGCTGGATTGCTTGAGTTTTTATTCTGGTAAATACACGAAGAATAATAGTAATAGTTGTTGTAATAGTAGTATAGCTGAAGTTACCATTCGTTTTTATCTCTTCACTAGGTAGTTAAACAGAGTATTTATTATATATATATATACACACCTGTCATTTATAGCATCACTATGGTAATATTCGATGTACCAATTCATTTGCATGTACGAATAGTAAGTAAGTAGTGAATATAGCAATGTATAAAAAAAAAGAAATTGAATAAATAAGCGAATATGTAAAATCAACTGAAATTTCTCTTAATCTAATAGGTATTTTAGTACATAGAGTATGTTTGAAAAAAATACGACTTCTTTAAGCCGGATCTATTCAATTTGCACGCGTAAATATGAACAATAATGATATTTAGTGAAAATAGTGAAAATGAATCAAGCGAGTTAACAGTTAACAAGAAATGTCATGGTTTAGCGAAAGACATTACTTGCTAGTAGTATTTCAAGGTAAATCAAGTGTTTTAAGGTATTATGTACTCGTTGCCAAATTATTGTTATCTACTGGTCGAGAATTTAATAGTCCTGACGCAAGAAAGACGGAAATCAGAAGACCACTAGGTTTGCGATGATACTTCTATTTTCCAAAACACCAGGAGAATCAATGTGTCACACAAGAGTGTGAGAGCAAAATATATATAATGTTCGAACAAGTGTGTGAGCGAATATTCAAAATGATCAAATCAATAGGCAGTCTTAACATGATTGGCTAATTATAAATGAATATCGATCCATATATACCTAGCAAATATAACAGACTGTCAAACAAACACACATATTATATGGATATATATATCAAAGCACTTTAACCTTGTTGGCTTAATGATGTAATTTGTTCAAGTCTATTTGGTGGTGCGAAACGGCCTAAGCTCAGTGTAATCTATCTCCTGTTATTATTTTTACTAAACAGATATAGTATGGTGATATAAACATTATTGTTCTTAGTATTAAGAAACGAAACTAAGATTCGTGTACAGTAGCAACCATCCAATCAGGTAATTTTGAACACATAGCGACAGTTTCGGTCATTCGGAGTAATTCGCCAATCGGTGATCACAGTGACCGCCTAACCAGAGGTTGTCAAAGTGACAGAGGACAATACCTATAATACTTATTTTGAATCAACCGTTCAACTTAACCATTGTTCTTAGACTGACATAAGTTAAATAAGAGCATCAATTATTAAAAAAAGCACGGGTCAGCAATGAATATTTCTTTGGCAACTTCCCTTCAAGGTTGTGCAGTTATATGGTGTTGTAAAATATCAGGAATTGCTTATAAGGTCAGTTAGTCAAATTGTAATGACAGAAGTCAAGGGCCAGGCAACAGATCATTTGTTGGGAAAATCAACAGATATTTTTAGGTTTTTATGTAGATTATTATCAGCGTTATTGTTAGCAGAGAATCAACCTCTTCTGATTGGTTGTTTTCTTGCTGAAGGTTATTCTGTCATCTCTTTGTGGCGTTTCTTAGAAAGTCAGGCCATATATCTGCGAATCATATTTGCACACGTTAAGCCTACTGTGATTGGTTGTTGAGTTACTCAAGGTTAAGTTTTTTTTACTGTTTTCCCTCATTACCCCGATTCGGGACGTAAACACTGACGTCAACTGTTGTCTACAATTTTTGCTTGCGGATAGCTCTCACCACAATATCAGTTCGTAACGAAACATGTGAACTGACATATCAAGCAGAAAAATAAATTGTGTAATCTAAAAGCGATAAGTGACGAGCATTGCTCAGAAATCGTTAACATTAGAAATTAAAACACACAAGCGCTTGGAAGCAAGAACATTGTTCAAAACGATGAGAGTCTAAGAATACTTATAAAGTATAATTAAAGTTAGGAGTCTGAACGGTAGAAATAAAATGAAAACAAAAGCCGAATGAACATTGATTATATAGCAAGTTATTAAACGAGTTAGAGAAAGGAAAGTTTAAGGCCATGGTAGCAAAAAGGTTTGGAATGACCGGTTCTGCATAAACAGTTCAGGGTTTTCCTCGTGGGTAGGAAGAGCTTCTGATGTGGACATCAGATGTAGACGGAAACCTTTCGAACGGCTTGGCCTCATTTATCCCTTTAAAAGATTATTCTATTGATGCGGAATGATTTATATGAATAAGGTACTCAAGATTATGATTTGCTTTGTTTGTTTGAACTCTTCAAGTGATGACAGAACTTACTTAATTCAAAGTATGATGAACTGTTCGTCAGAGTTAACATAGGGTGATGCAGTTCATGTGCTGTTGAAGAATTTATGCAAGATGAGGAAACGAAGTTTATGTAGTCCTCTAAACTTTCACACATTGTGAACGGTGGTATCACATGCAACTGTGTTTACCAGTTTACATTTATGTGCGGTCACACGTACACAGGGTAAAGCCGTAGACCTCTGTAACTGAGTGATGCCAAACACATTTCCAACTGAAAGTGAGAACAAATAAAATTACCGGATTCAGTTATTCCAGGAAACCCAGATACCCAGCGTCAACCATCGCAAAGCATATCATACAGACACTTCATATTTTTCATTTCAATAATGTCTTTAAATCCATATTTAAAACAGATTTGAGTTAGGTACTTAAACTGATAGAAGCCTTGACCATTAAAAGGCTTAAACCTTTTGCATTGTCTTCGTCATGCAATTTTAGGACCAAGGTTTAATTTACTTGGTGATAATTTCACCCTTACCCGTTTTTCTCACCTCACTTTCCTACCTCTTATCTATCATCTTCCTCCGTAAAGGTTTTGACCTATATTGACAAAAACTATAATCCATTACGCTCTGCTACCTTTTTGTATTAATATGTAGGACAAGTGTGTGTGCAGACTGTCTGAAATGTGTTGCAAACATAGACTACCCATCCCAGGTGAATTATGTCTTCTGACTGTTTTGTAGAAACACAGATTAACCTAAAACAAAGTTGACTGTAGATCCATATTCAACTGAAGTAGGTTGTTTAACCCTATTTCATCAGATCTTTCAAATGGTATCGATAATGAGGTATATTTATCCTTGCAAAAAATGTAATTTAGCATGACAAGTGCGATAAGTGAAATAATACTGGAGACAGTTGAAAGCGAGGATAATGACAGAGACAATCAACGTAATAATTGAAGGGTATACAAATCGAATGAAAAAAACCAAAAACAAGTACAGGCAGAATATGAATGAAGATTATCATAGTTTAGCATAAACGGATTGAGAGCATGAGAGTTGAAAGGGTTAAAAAACCATATTCTATGCATTCGTCCATTTTCAGTTTTGCCCACGGATTTATATACGAGGGGATGATTATCTATTTCGTCTATCCTTCACGCAGTAAAGTCACATTGTAAACTTTTCACATTTCTTTGTTAAACAGTCTGAAGGCTAGCGAAAAGTAAACCTTGTTAACATTAGCAATTCATTCACAGTTGTAAACAGCTGAAGTTATTTCAAGACATAACGTTTTAAAACAATCTGCTTCATAACTGGAAACCCTGCACCGCACGTCAGATTTATTCACATACTGTTGCAAATGATTTAATATTTTCAAAAGTGTGCTTGTAACTGACTGCGAGACAAGTTGCCTGGTGTTCTAGTGGTAAGTTGTGACCAATGACATCCAAACGGTCGGAATTGAGAATAAATTCTAGCCAGTGACATTTGTTGTTGGTCACGCCAAATCACGAATTCGTAGAATTCTAAGTTCGTGAGCCACTGAACTGGGTCCGACTGGCTGAATGGTCTACGAGCTTCCCTTGTAACCGAAAGGCTATGGGTTTGGAATCTGGTGGGCGCTTACCGCTGAGGACTCCCAAACTAGGACGAAACTGCTGTCCAGTACTTCTTGTTTGTTTTCAATAGTTCTCTAATTGATATCGATCTGTGGTAAAACTAGAAGTAATATCGTTTAAAGTCACAGCACACTCTCAATTTAAACATGCGAGCTCTCACAGACCTAGAATCTCACGAGTGGCTTTACTTCATAATGCGTGGTCAAAAATCGAACCAATCCGAACTTCCCAGAGTTTATAAGACTGTCTACAAACTGCCTATTTGGAATGGTCCATTTTAAAAGGTGAAGGTTAGCTCAGGCTTATGTTAATCTTGTAAAAGTTATGTGAACTTTTATGATGAGATGTCTGTATTTTACCTGCAAATAGCGACTGCTAGCTTGTGGAATACTGAATACTATTTGCAGTTTCATTGCTTCCTTTTACTCTAGTAAGTTTTATTACATGTTCAGTATGAATCTTTTTAAGGGTCACATAGGACACATACAGGACAGTGCAAACTGCTTATAAATGTTGTTCTAATAAACTCACCGAGTGACAACTCTCGATATATTCAGCATGAAGTTCATGTGCAGTTCAGAAAAATTAAATCAAGTGATAGGTAACTTAGAATTTGAAATATATCACAATAGAAATTAATTCCAATTTATAATAAACCGAAAATATTTGTAGAAAGGTTTATTATCTTAAAAGATCTTGACTTTACTCAAAACTATGGCGACCCAAGCGAATGGACATAACAATGGTCTTGGTCGACCAATCAGATGAGCCTATAGTAAAAGCACGGAAATATAGATGCAGTACACGAATTACGGTACAAATTCCATCTCGAACTAGTATTTGAGTCTTGTAAGGATTAGGGCTTATAGGAAGCATGTAGATGTGGAAAAGTAATGTCTACAGAGGTATACAGCTGCTGTTGATGGATATGTGTACAGATGTCCAAGCTGCCGTTACAGAAAATCTGTCCAAGAAGATATGTCGTTCTTTTTTTAAGTTCGAGGATGTTGAAAAGCAGTGAATGGGTCACGAAACAGCATAATACACAGTTATCTGAATGAATTTATGCACAAAAATTGGTTTGGACTCCATTTAGGAACTAGGGGTTTTTGGAATATAAACAGGAACGTTATCTTGTATAACCACTTTTTAACCTTGCATAAGATTTCTATAAAAATATTTTTTCAAATTACGCGTTTTTCCTGTGGACTAATCTGAGTGATTGATAAAGATCTATCAAGGCCATTATGATGGTCGTTCGTTTGGAGAGAATTTATTGCATAC